TATGCATTATAAGAAAAAGATGGCTGTTCTCAAAAAGGAATAAAAGGACAAAAAAATAAGTCCCCAAACTCCAGGATCTGTCAGACAGAAGATGTAACTAATTCCCATTTCTAACTGGAAAAATATAAAACCGAGATGGCCTTTGAGTGATTAAGGCCAATTACTACTGAGCCTCATGACAAGAAGCAAGTCAAGGGTATGACCATCAAAACCTTTTGCTTAAACATCTGGAATAATTAAGGTGGTTCTAAGTAAATCCTTTCAGTTGGACAAAATTGCTCCGGGAAAATACACCAAAGATACGGCTCTCCCACCAAAGCCTGATATGCTCAAGACACCTGCCTGGAAAAGAACTGGGGCATAACGATCGGCACATAAAGCTAATTGAATAAAATAGATAAAAAGCCAACTACGTTTTTAAGAGAGTTACACTGTCAAGAGAGCCACTAGCTGTGCTAAAAGGGGTTCTAACTTCTTTATCTAAGACCACAAGCTTATTCAGCATATTATTATCTACCAGACAAGTTCTCACAAAAGTTTTACTGCATTACATAGATTGCCTTCAATTTAGTCTCCTGTAACAGTTTCTTTGCTGCCCGTTAGCTAGACCAGAAGCAAATGCCATTAATTTTCAAATTGCTCTTATGGAACTTTTTGCCCCACTCTTGGAACTAATTTCTGTATTAGCCAACTAAGTCAATGGTGGTAACAATGAACAAGAGTGAGTCACTTGTAATATACATACAAAATATTTTCCCAAATAATTATTTATATTTGGATGCTATTTATTGTGGTTTTTTGCCATGAAGAATCCCTCCCACCTGTTTATATAGTCAAATACCGTTTGGTTCTCTTTGTCATTCTGGGTTATGGTTTTACTCTGAAAAGGTTTTGTCATTAAATCAACAAATTAAGGGACATAAGAGCAACAGCTCCTTGTTTTCTTCTAGTATCTTTATAGTTTCATATTTTAACATTTTTAACCCAGATGAAATTGATTCATGGTGGTAACAATTTCAGTTGTTAAAACAAAAAAGGTTTATATTTTGTGCATATAACATATTTTAAATAAATAGAAGCCACGACACCTATTTTGTATTGCTTTCAATTGTCACATATCACAAGTAATTCTGCACTGGACATATTTGTACAGATATCATTCTGCACGTGGGCAAGTATATCTGTAGGTTCTATTTCTAGAAAATAGAATTGCTAGGTTAAAGGATATGTACATTTTAAAATTTGACATGGACTTATTGATTTATACTCCCACTAGCTACATATGAGACTGCCTATTTCCTCCTACCTGCAACAATAGTATTAACCTTTTCGATCTTTGCCCCACCTGAGAGGTGAAATGTAATATTTCATTAATGTTTTATTTTTTCAAGTTAGATTAGACTTTTCCTTGCTTTTCATATATTTCAGAAGTCTTTTTACCTCTTTTTTTTTTTTTCATATCCCTTTTTCCATTTCTCTCTTTGGTTGTATTAACAATGGTTAAAGAAGACAATTTAGTTGATCCAAACAAGCTTTATTTAACACTTCATGAAGTAGACAGTCTCCATTCGGAGAGGTGCAAAATGGGGTAGAAGGCAGGAAGCTTTTATAGGTAAAGAATAAGGAATAAGGAAGAGGAAAAAAAAAACCTATCTGATTGACTGGGGCTGCAGAGTCTACCTTGTTAGGGGTGAAAAAGAACAAGGAAATAAGGGTAGATCCCGGAGCTGGCTTGGTGTTTGGCTAACAGGATAGACTGCATTTCACGTCAAGTGGAGTATTTACAAGGACACAGAAGTCACCCAAGTTTGAGTTTGCTGCTGTGGCACTCCAGGCAGAAGTGGATGCATTTTGGGCCCAGAAAGTTATTTCAACAGACATAACTTTTTCTTATAGATTTATAAGAACTATTTACATAGTCAGTAAAAGACTCACTTATGACATACATTGAAAATATTTTTCCAAGTAATTATTTATATTTGGATGCTGTTTTTTGTGGTTTTTGCCGTGAAGAATCCCCTCCCACACCTTTTTATATAGTCAAATACCAATTGTTTCTCTTTGTCATTCTGGGTTATGGTTTCACTTTGGAAAGGTTTTCTCATTAAATCAACAAATGAATGGATATAAGAGCAACAACTCCTTGTTTCCTTCTGGTATCTTTATAGTTCCGTATTTTGTTCTAACATTTTTAACCCAGATGAAATTGATTCTGGTGTAAGTTGCTAGGGAGGGATACATATTTATACAATACCTAACTGGTGAGGGTGGGTGTTTTTGTAGATGATGATCTGTGAGCTGTGGAACAAGAGTTGTAGAAGATTAATTTTCCAATGAATATATTTTTGTAATTTTGAGTTTTGTACCTCGTTCATGTAAAATCTACCAAAAACTCATTGAACTAATTAAATTCTTTGCTGTGATGAAAGAAAGCAACAGGAACATGGACAGTCTCTGCTCAGCTTCAGTTAAATGTCACCAAGGCAGAAATATGGAAACAGTATTGTCAGACCTACCCATTTTTCAAAAGAAGCTGAAATCTGGATTTTCATGTGAAATCCCTGGATGTTTAAATGTTAACAACTAATTCAGAGTTTTAAAAACATTGCCTGGGCCAAGCAAACACATCTGTGAGCCAGATGGGGCCCTCAGGGTGCCAGTTTGAGACCTGTGGTTTAGACATGTTTTCCTCTTACCCTCAAAGATTCATTTAAGTGCCTCTTCTAGGGGCAGCCATAGTGTGGTCAGCCTGTATCACAGAGGATTTTAATTGATTGTTGGTGGCCTAGTTTTTCTATTAAACTCAAGCCTTTCTATTAAGTTATAAAGTTAGAAATATTTATAGATTTTGAGATCCCCAGGGCCTAGCACAGTATCTTGTACCTAGTAGACATTTAATATGAATGTATGTTGAATGAATAAGTAGATGAATGAATGAACTCCACTGCAAATAGAATCCCTGCCAAATATTTGGACAAAGTAGCTCAGGTTCTCAGAGGTTACCTCCCCCCAACCCCCCAAGTCCCCCAGTGCACTCATGGCAAGCTGAACATTTGTACCCGATTTTGTTTACAGGTGGCCTCTTCCACGTTGTGAATCTTGGCCACTAGATGTCTCGCTTTGCTTAAAAGACATTCTGGAGCCCTGGGTTCAACTTGTGGTTTGCGAAAAAGAAACAATACTTAAGTAAAAAAGAATGCCTTAATCTCAGGCCACATCTTCTACATATGTTTGTCCTCTTGAAGAAGCCGAAGACAGCCACAATATCAAAGAAAAAGTGCCTAGGGATGGAATCAGATTTATTTTGTTCTGGGAGAATTTTTTATCCACAGGAATGCACCCTTGGGGGCACTGAATGACAGTCTGTTGGGTTTTAGCCTCTAATCCAGCAGATTCATGAGTGTTCTCCACAAGTCTTGTTGGTGTTACTTTTCTCTGCTGCTTTCGGCTGGTGGAGAAATGCATCTTACTGTTAAGGGTCTGGGACTCTAGAACCTGTGTAGTAAAAGCAGAATTCTTGTAAGCTGTATCAGGACAAACTTCCCCACTGAGGCTGCCCAGATGCTCATCTGAATTCCTGAGCATCACGTGAACACAGGGGATATGTTGGTGCCTGTGGTTGTGTCTTTCATGTGCCCAGTGAGGGTCTGCTGAGCTTGGAAAGGTGGAATGCTTGGTGCTGTATAATTCTTATTTTCTTCTTCTTCTTCTTATTTTGGCCACACCCACGCAGCCTGCAGAATCTTAGTTCCCTGACCAGGGATCAAATCTGGGCCCTGGCAGTAAAAGCACCTAGTCCTAACCACCGGACTGCCATGGAATTCCCTTTCTTTTTTTAGTGCTCTATAATTCGCATTTTAAAGACAGGCAGAGTAAGGGGTAAAAAAAAGCTCAATACTTTTATAGCCCATGGCTTTCTCTTCTCAGTGTTACCTCTGGCATTCAAACACAGTACATTCTGAACTGATTAAGGGCAATGGATGGAAGATTGCCCAACCCTGTTAAATGCACCCAGGGCCTTGAATTTAATGATACTTGAAGCTACTTGAATAAAATGGAACTGTGGATTCTATGGGGCTCTGGTGGCTTTCTGACTTATTATGGAAGGTTCAGATGGTAAGAACGCTGTGTCTCATTAGCACCTGAGACATAGCCTTGCCTTTATCTTTTCTTTGGTTATTTTGCAAGTGTTTGACACTTCTCTTTGCATTTCTCATCTGTCTTAGAGAAGCAATGGAGTGTAGGTTCAGAAAACAGAGTTTGAAGTCAGCTTATGTTAGTGTCCTGGCCCACCATTGAGACTACATCAGTTTTGATTGTTTTACCATATTTGTAAGACTTACCATATTACTCACTGTAATTTACATTTTACAGTCAACTCCCCCCCTCTTTACTTCTCCTTTCAGTTGTTTTTTGTTTTTGTTTTTTTTTTCGGTACGCAGGCCTCTCACTGTTGTGGCCTCTCCCTTTGCGGAGCACAGGCTTCAGACGCGCAGGCTCAGCGGCCTTGGCTCACGGGCCCAGACGCTCCGCGGCACGTGGGATCTTCCCAGACCGGGGCACGTATCCACGTCCCCCGCATCGGCAGGCGGACCCTCAACCACTGCGCCACCAGGGAAGCCCTCCTTTCAGTTTTTCTTTCTAATTATACCTGAATTTTAAAAATTGCATTTAACCCTTTCACAATTATGGAATAAAGCCACTGGAAACAGTTCAGGACCTATCCCTCCCTTGAATCACCATGTCATTCAATGTGGCCCTCTGTGTTTGCAGCCCCTGGATCAGAGCTTCTCAAAGACCAAACGCAAAGGATACCGAGCACTTCTGATGGAAGGACACTCCTCAGAGTGGATACATGTCCTTCGCAGGTCCACCTGCTGATCAAATTCAGATATTGTCTCAAACCCACAGCCGTCACTCAGGGAAAGATTGTTGAGGTCATAAGAGTTAGATGACTAGTTCCAGTAACACGATTCTGTTTGCTATTTCCTTTCTCCTAGGCCTCAGTCTTGTTGCTGCTTATTCCCGTGACTCTACTCTTTTGCTGGGAAACCAAGCCATCAGACCAAAACAAACAGATGGAGTTAGGAGGCCTGAAGCTCTTCCTCAGCCCCCGGCCTTTCTTCTTGTTCTTCTTCGGCATTTGCAGGATGCTAGACGCAGACTCGCCAAGGAAGCTCTGTGGTCAAGTTCACCAGAGGAAAAAAAATGTCAGGTTGACCAGATGGACCAAAACGCATTGGTTTAGCTACCTTTGTACCCTCAGGTGAACAACTTTGTTTCTGCTTCGTAGGTTAGTGGGTGAGATTTGGGGGCAGAAGGAGCATTGCCGTCGCACCAGAGCAGCAACACTTCCTCAGCTCTGCCTTCGCAGAAGGTGGCTCTTCTTGGGCTCATAACAAAGACATGTCACAATGCCACCACAAGGCTCAAAGCATGCTTCTTCCTTTTGGTCTTTGTCCTCTGCAGTGATGGGGGAGCCCCATCCCCTAACCAGGAAATAATGAAAAATTCAGCATCGCGTGCGTTAGCATATTATTAGGAGGAAGCTAGAAGGGGTGATTAAATGGCTTGGTGGTGAGTCATCGGTAACCCTCTTTGTGAAACAACCTAAATACTGGGCATACTATGATCTCCTTCTATAAAATATGGAATTAACTATTAAACACATACATTTATTTGAATTCAGGGTTTCACCAAAATCAATGTACTCATGAAATCACTGATGTTTATTGGTTGCCTAATTTTCTAGTATCTGCTGAATGGTTTTGATCTAATAAGACACTGTAGGGGTCCCTTTGGTTCTGAGGGCTATACACTAGCCCCTAGGAAGCTGCTGGGCTTCATGACAAAAAGAGCTGGAAGTGAATAACAGAGCTGCCGTACGAGCTGCCAGCCCTCACCACGCTGAGCTCCACACTGATCAGCCACTTGGTCTGCTCTTCTGCTGTTTCCTTACCCCTCCCCCTCGCCCACCACCCAATTCCATAGCTACTTTCTCCCTAAGTAATTAATAAATTATTAGTCCATTTTAGAGACACATTCCCACTGAGATGTCAGTGACTTATATGTTCCTACAAGCTCCTGCATTTTCATACAGACAATAGGAAAAGGGCAGCACTGAACTGAAAATATGGCATCTAATCCTAGGATGTTAGACATTGGATCAACTGAGTAAGAGTATATAGTTCTAGAAGTCCTCGACCCTTCGTATTGAATGGAAATTTGGTCTCCACGTACCATTGGTGGATCCCGAAAACAGGCAGAACCCTGCAGAAAAAGCACATGAGGAGAAAGGAATTAACTTGACTAAATGATGAGATCAGCTTTATTCCACCCAGGCTGGTGGGGGACACAGGAGAGATGGTTGACGCCCTTGAACTATTGGAGGTTGTCAGAATGGCTTTGTTCTCTTGACAGCTCTTCCACTGGACCAGATCCAGACCTGGTCATGAAGAGACAGGATGAGGACCAAGTGGCCCAGATGGTGCTGGAAACAAGAGGATCACATTGAGTTTAGGCCTGATTGGCACTAAAGGTATTCAAAATGAAAATATAGACCCTAATATATTGGGAATATTGTTCACTCTAAAAAAAAAAAAAAAAAAAAAAAAAGAGAGAGAGAGAGAGACTTCTGTTAGGTTTTAGTGCCCCGAAGACCATTTTGTCCTTCCTGAGAAAATGGATGCTTCCTCTTTTCTGATAATAAGAAAAATGTATCTGACTAGCTTCCTCTTTTCATTGCTAGGAAGCTCTGTCCCTAGAGTTACATTTTAAATTTACAAAACACTGTAACTACCTCATAGGTTTTTATTTACATTCTTTTTCTTAGTTGACTCCCTACTCTTTTTTTATTTTATTGGGGTAAAATTGCTTTCCAATGTTGTGTTAGTTTCTGCTATACAATGAAGTGAATCAGCTATATATATACCTATATCCCCTCCCTTTTGGACTTCTCTCTCCCCCCACCATCCCACCCATCTAGGTCGTCACAGAGCACCAAGCTGAGCTCCCTGTGCTATACAGCAGGTTCCCACTAGCTATCTATTTTACATATGGTAGCGTATTTATGTCAAACCTAATCTCCCAGTTCATCCCACCCTCCCCCCCCACCATGTCCACATGTCTGTTCTCTATGTCTACGTCACTATTCCTGTGACTCTCCACTCTTATAGTTTCCCCTTTTTATAGTTCATGTACATACATATAGTTTATGTATAGAACGTTTATGTTTCTTTATTTCTACTCTAATGTAATTTTATGCATTAATATTGTAAGCCGCCTCAAATCATTTGTAAGTTATAGAGTGGTTTAAAGTGTCAACTACCTCAAGTCATTGGTAAATGTGGAGTGTCAGCTTTCAAATCAGATGACTCCTTAGAAAGAAACTTATGAAAGAAGTTAGTAAGGTTTAGCACGAGGTTTTCTAAGGACAAAGAATATACCGAAAGCATCTGACCTGGGCGTGGACGCCGTTGCTCTCTTTTGCCCACCCCCATTACATAGTATTCCACCCAGAAGTCCAAGGTGCCTTTGTCTGGGAAAGTAGCAGGTTGATTCTTCAGCCTTGAGTGAGAAAGTGGGAAAAGGAAAAATAATATCTACCTCTCCCCATACCTCACTGGAACGACCCACCTCTCCCCAGCTGAAATTTATGCATGAAAGGCTACATTCCTTCTGCTTTATGGGCTATGGCCCTGGGTGTCCAGAGGCTGGATGTGAAAGCTTGACAGAGTGGCATCGTGTGACACATGAATCTAGGACAGAAGTATCCTGCATTCCCCTAGAGCATTTTTCTCCCATTTTCCTTCTGTGATTTCTGTGTGCTGGGAGAATCATTAGGTCTTGGGCTCTGAGCTCTTTCCTCTTACCAGGCCTGTTAGGGACTTAAGTGGGAGGGAGAGTCAACATAAAGGTATTTCTCTCTTCCTTCTTGAAAGGGGTGTGTTCTGGGCTTGTCTGCCTACTGGGCAGCAACGTGCTGCAGGAGTTGCTGGTGAATCAGTGGCCTGTACACCTGCCAGCGAGCCCCTGTGGCTCAGATATTACGATTATCTTTCCAAACAGAACAAGAAGTGATTGAGCCACGGTTACACCAGAGGAAGGGCTCCCTGGGGCTGTGATGTGAAGAAAGGAATCACAGGTAAGCCTCAAAGCTGTGATTTGATTCCTTAGAATGTGTCTTACTATCATCCTTATTACCTGTTAATCTGAGAAGATTTTTCCCCTCTGCATGGGGAAAACTCTGATTTCAATAACCCATTTCCTAAAGAAGGGTAACTAAAGGAACAGAGAGTGGAAAAAACAATGAGCAGATACGACAGAGTTCAGCTTCTCGGTAATTATATAAATCGAGATGTTTGGTGAGTCTCAGACTAGAGGTTTGCTGACTCAAAGCACAGCCTTCTCTCTGTCGATTGCAACACGGTAACCCCTATTCTTGGGGGTGTGCCTGGGAAATGGATTGACTGGAATAAAGAAGGCTTGGCCAAGGGTAATTGTTAAAAACGTCAATCTCGCGGCTTCCATGAATTAGTCATAGATTTCCCCTAGCCATCTCTTGAAATAAAAATATTCTTGATAAAATCAAGTTTATTTTCACTTTAAGACGAATTAGTTTAAGCTTTGACCTAGTTGGTATACTTCCAGGAAGTGCTTCCCAATTTAACTCCTTCCCTAGACTCTAAAAAATCCACAAACTGACCCTTTTAATCCTTTCCTCTGCTCCCTCCCCAAATAAATATAAAGTGATACACTATATTTTCTGACAGTCCTTGAAAATTAGTCATTTTTCTTTTCCCTTTTCTTCTTTTTCATGAAGAATTAATTTATGCAAACCTGATATTCTATGTAATCCATCCAGGCCAGATACTAAATAATGAGAAGTTACCAAAGGAGGTATAGGAAGAAGGTGAGGGTGGAGAAATGTGGAAAAATGATGACTTTGGCATTTCCATGGAGAAATCCATTAAACTAAACCTGATAATAACACACATAGGCTGGAAATTACAGAGACAAGAGAAGAAACAAAAATAGATAAAAGTACATTCTATAATTTATCAGAGTATTAATTAGCACAAGCCTTTTGTTATGTTCTTAATAAAACCACTATTAATTATTCAACCATAACCCAAATTTAAAAGGATTGTATATTATGTAGCCACATATAGTACTTTATTCAACCATTAACAAGGAACATAATCTTGAGCAAATTATTTAGCTTTCCTTATTCTGGTCACTTGATTTGCAAAATGATAGCCATGAGCATGAAGTGTTAAAATGAGAGCCTGGGGCTTCCCTGGTGGCGCAGTGGTTGAGAGCCTGCCTGCCGATGCAGGGGACACGGGTTCGTGCCCCGGTCCGGGAAGATCCCACATGCCGCGGAGTGGCTGGGCCCGTGAGCCATGGCCACTGAGCCTGCACGTCCAGAGCCTGTGCTCCGCAACAGGAGAGGCCACAGCAGTGAGAGGCCCGTATACCGCAAAAAAAAAAAAAAAAAAAAAGAGAGCGTGTCTGTGTTGAGTCTTAGAAACTTGACTTTCAAACACTCCTATTCTGTGCATGACCACAAGTTGATGGAAATTGTTGCCGACAGGCCTCAAAGGTACATATGTCTTGCTTCTCTAAAAAGACAGTGTATTTCTTTATTCCTTTTTAAAAGCAAGGACAGGGTTCCCATCACAGGGTTTATCTCTTGCGGTGCTGAGGGTTAGGCGAGCACAATACTTTGGCATCCATGTGCCCTCTGGTGTCATTCATTCCACAATTCCACAATTAAAGGGATACAAATATCCTCCTAGAAAAAGTAAATGAACGCATTCATTCAAACTAGGGTGTCAGTGACATTTTTTAGCAGCTTGGCTGGGAGCAAGTGTGAACTGGATGAAGCAAGAGGGTACAGGATACGGAAAGACACGAGCAGTGGCAGCAGTGTGTGCCCAGGGTGAACGACCCAGAAAGTAGAGGGATGGCATCCCTAGGACAATGTCACTGAATTCACAGTTTTGCTTACAGCCGCTCCTTAAGAAACCACGTTCTACCCAATCTAAACGTATGTCTCTGCCACTTTCAAAATGGTCTGCCTTGTTCTCTTTCTAAAGGTCTTTGGCAGGGAATACCCATAGCTACATAGAGTGTGTTTGAGCAGAGATGTGCTCACAGGATGTCAAGGTCTCCATAGTTCTGGACTGGATACACGGTCTTGATAGCTATGAAAATAATCTTAGAAACCTGGAGGGATGGTGCAAAAGATCTAGAATATCATCCTCTCTCCCATGCCCAGCTGGTTCTAGCCTTGCTGAATTCCACCACTGTAGTACACAGAATTGGGCGGGGAGGCAGGTGGGGTGGGGGTGGGGGTGGGGGTGGGGTGGGGCTTCTTACCCCCACCCCCACCCCGGCCCCAGCAAGCCACAGATAATCTCATCAAGGCTCCAGTTCAAACGGCAGATGAAAACCTGGGCTCTGGCATGTTGAGGCCAAAAATCCATAAGAATTAATAAGTGTGAAAGTGCCCTGGCATTTCCTAGAATTATAGTAAATTTCCCATGCACAGCCAGTTGAATGAATAAAATGCAGAGGTGAACAACCATGAGGTATGTAGCCCTAAAATGTGCAAAATATAGTTAAATCTTGTTGATGAAGGCCACCTGGTCTTCATCGTGTCTCTGGGTCCTCGGTGAGAATGTCAGCCTTTAATCCCCAGAGGCTCACAAACCATGGAAACTCTAGTGTTTTGTTTTGTCTTAAAGAAAGTCTTTTAAACTAAAGACTTTAAGTAAAGTCTTGAAGATAATTTCCGTATCACTTGCTTCTTTCTCATAAGACAAAATTTTTAAAAACCTGATCATAAGAATTCCTTTATTATTAGGGATAAGCAGGCATTTACTCTAAATTTGTGGTGTTAGGACAGCTTTGTCACAACAGAACAGATTCACATCTGCAAAGTTTTGGGTAAAGAGGTTTTGTATTAAGCAGATCATACTTTCCATGATGACTTTTCACACTTGTGTTTGTACGTTAGCCTAATTTTGCTTAAAGACATTCCTGTGCTTAATCTCTTAAGAGAATCGGGCTAATTATTTCTAAGAAGAGAACAACATATAGGCATATAACACTCTTCTACATTGTCGACCAAGATGCCAATTAAACAAGTAACTAGCAAAAGAAAAGACACAGATATCATAGAATTTAAAAAATATTTAGGTTAGAATTTTATTATATGACCATGTGCACCTTTAAAATTGATAAAGAATTTTACAGGTGGTCTTGATAAAGAATGGTTTAGTCAAGAAATGTAGTTAGCATAACTGGTTATTCATTTGGAGGAAAATGAAAGTAAACCCCTATTTTATACCGAAACCTAAAATAACTCCAGAAGGACTGAGAATTTTAAAGTATATAAAAAACAAATGAACTAACTCACTGAAAGAAGTGTTAGAAGATAATATAGGAGGATATGTTTACCATCTTTTTATAGAAAAAAAATTCTTAGCATGACCCCAGTTTAAAATCCATAATGGAAAGGATTGACAGAGACATTCATTGATGAATGTCTTAAACTTTTGTGCCTAACAGGACAACGTAAAAAGTTAAAGACCAAAGACAAATGATGAGCACATATTTATAACACGAGTGACAAAGAGCTGATATCCATGCTATGATGAGCTCCTAGAAGCAGTTCTTAAGAAATAGGTGAACATTCCAACAGAAACACTTTGGACAACGACTTAAAATAGTCAAGCCAGAAAAAAATATATATAAATGACCAATAAACATCTGAAAAAATGCTTAATTTTATTAATAATCAAAGGCATAAAAATTAAAGCAATTAGATAAATATTTGCCTATCAGTTTGGCAAATATTATAAAGATGTTGGGGCCAGTGTGATGAAACAGGCATTTCTACACCTTACCAGGGACTGTAAACGGGTACAAATTAGGAGGGCCATTTGGCCATGTCTATCAAAACTCAAAATGTAATAACCTGGAATTAAAGATGCACAAGAAGAAGGTTAACAGAAGGAACATTTGAGGCAGATTATAGGAGTCTAAATAACAAATTTGCCATGATAATGTGTTAGATTTTCGTCTGTACGTAACGTGAAGCCCAGAAGTTTTTTGAATGTGGATTGGCATGATATTTGCAGGATAGGTAGAATGCCAGGCCACTGGCTTTATTTCTAGAAAAATCATTTGGGGAATATCATTGGAAAATGTGCTTTTACTTATTAGGAAATAAGGATGAAAACACTGTTAATATGCTTAGGGAAGCTTAAAGAATGAGTGTTTTTTGGTAGATTTGAAACAATTGAGGTTTAGCGGTGTGAGCACTGAATGAAAAGTCAGATATTGTTTCACTCTTATTTAAAAATAGATCACGCAAGAACAGTTTGTAACATCTTTAATCTGACCTTTTACCCATGAAGACCCCACAAAGCCCGTTCTGTAGGTTCTTTCCAGTAGGCCTGATGAATTGTGTTTTCTCCCTTGAAGAGCTGAGTTTCCTTGGACACTGATGACACTCACATTGTTAGGAGGATAGCTTTGAAACATATATTCTTCTTTTTCCTGAATAAAGAAAGCTTAATTGTCAGGAGCTCGGATGGGGATCATGTTAATAATTGTGACTCTATTAAAATCATGGCCTAAGCAACAAAACGAACTGGGTCCAGAGTCCGAGAGAAATAACAAGCTCCTTGGGGAGAGAAACTTAAGGAAATAGTCAATACGTTCTTCCTATTTAGAATTTAGGTTTACCCTTCTCATTTTACACAAGTGTAAAACCCAAATAATTCCCACTTAATTGCCAAATAATCAAAGCAATACATATGAAAGTATTTTGTAAATTAGAAAGAATTATCCTATTTCTTCTTATGTAAATATCCCCGCCCTTGAGTGCGGTTCTGGTACATTTTTCAAGCAAAAAGTCCAAGAGGAAGGTCAAATTCTCTGGGCTTTACTGATTGTCAGTAAGCAAATTCGAGTGGGGAAGATAGGAAACAATGACCTGGGGATTCCAGGAAGGCTGGGTCCCCAGTTGCTAAGCTGAAGTCTTGGCTGAAGAAAGAGCTTAGCACCTTTTCTGGAATGCCATTAATCATGCTTTAAGGGCTTGGTGGTAACTTGTGTTTTACTGAACCATGAGTGACAGGAGCAAATCCTCAGTTACAGGGGGTTGGAATAGAGCCAACCCTTGAGGCTGGCAGTCAGGCTTTTTACAACAGAATTGAGCTAGACTTGTCTGTGAGTGATAAACTCAACCAGTACACCCAAAGCAGTATTGGGTGATGAGCTAAGAACGACGAGTCATTCTGTATCTCTTCTGAGAAACAAAGCAGAGATAAATGAATTTTAAAAAACCAGAATCCTTGTGAGGAGGGAGCAGACAGCTGAGCTAGGCTGACAGCACCAGCAACAGGAGAAATGCTCTCTAGCTGAAGTTCCAATTCGTGGCAAAGGACAGAAGGCCTCGTCAGAAATGTATCTCAATTTTTGGATGGAAAAGAATCAGATAAGAGGCATGGTCACAAACTGGACTCTGAAGGGAGATCCATTCAGTGAAACATCAGAGAGTTTAAATAGGGAACAGAGATACCCCAGCAACCCAGCAGTTGTTTTCAAAAGTAGGTCTGATCATGGCTCTTGGAGTTTCCCCAAGTGGGTGGCACGAACACCCTGCCTGGGAAATTGGAGGCGCTCAATACACAAGGCTCTCGATACACAAGTGATTGGACAAATCAAAGTTTAGCAGATTGGTAAAGTGTTGCAAGGAAAGGGACAACTTAGCTAAGTAATTCCTTTTGTCTCTTCCAGCCTTACAACTCCGTAGTTCTTAAAAAACCTACCGCTATTCTCAACCGAAGGGCTTAATTCTTATCAGGTTCTCAGCCCATCTCAAAAGATGTTCAGGAATGATAATAACCAGTATGAGGAGGACACAGGAACAGAGTCCAGTAAAAACAATTTAATCTTTCTAGACTCAGATTTGATGACTGACAGACACTAATGAAAAGAACAATTACATATACAAATAGAAACTGGGAAATGGGCATATAATAATGGAATCTGAATGTGAACAGATCTGAGTGCACCCTATTTTCTTTCTTTATAGAAAAGGAAACTGAGTCCAGCAAGTCTTCTTTTTAATTTTCACAAATTCTAGCAGATAAGGGACAATGCTGAAGTTAGGGTCTAATTCATCTAGGTCTTTTCCCACTAAGTTTATTCAACATGAACACACTAAAAACATGCTGCAATATAAAATATGTGTTTAAAATTTTACTGGGAACACATGTTTATACAGACACTCATTGAACTTTTAACTTTTAAATAACTTTATAGTCCTTCCAAAAGAAGTTGGTCTAGCTCATAAAAGGTACCAAACCACCAAACATTTTTCCATATATGACATTGGTTATCTTTTCTGTCTCCCACCTATATCCCCACCTGTCTTTACCATATCTGCCTACTGAAAGGAATGCAAAGAAACTCTTCTCAAAGGCAAATGGCCCAAGGACTCCTATACAAAGGCAGATCCCAATGAAAATGTGACCAAAAACTTATAAAATAAGACGTAAAATAAAACCGAGATTTTAAAGGTCCTCTGCCTATTAATCTGTTCTATTTGAATCCTGATTTCTTTCAGATCCCAGCTGGAGATCTGTTCTTTCCATTTGTGTGTGTGTGTGTGTGTGTGTGTGTGTGATGCATGTGTGCACATGTGAGTCCAAGGCAGAGAGGAGGGTGACAGTTCTACTGGGAATTCTTCTATTTATAGAGGAAGAAACATAATCCCATACACGTTGATGCCAGGAAAACAGCCCAAGAGTTTAACTCTGCCTAAGAATAGAATGTTGCTAAAAATGCTGGAAAATGTATGTGAGAGCAGTGCTGGTTAAGCACCACTGTTGATAAGGAGACAGCTGTTGATATAAATAAATGATATTTGGATCCATAAATACATAACTGGAAGATTGAGGAGACAATGGGCAGCTGTCTCCAGAGGCGTAATAGCAAATTCTAATGATTGTTCTCTAAAAACTGAAGGACAGGGATTATCAGGAATGAATTCACTTGAATGAATTCAAGGAAGTGAGGGGAGTCCCACCACGGCCAAGTCTTCCCATGGATGCCAGGGCCTCCCATGGACGCCCAGGCCAACACAGCTGTAGGTCAGGCATCGCTGGCCCCCAGCTGCACAGAGAGACGTGTGTTGTAAACAAGCACACACACTCTGATGACAAAATCAGCTTCTCATCTATGGCAAGGGAACATGGATTCTGAGAATTTTTTTTTAAATAATCAGGACCCTTCCAGTTTAGAAGGGACGTGCTGAAAATACCACGGGGTTTGCCTCTAGTGAAGGCAAAGTTAAGTTCAATTTAAGATTACACCTCAACACACACACACACACACACACACACAGTACTTCTTGACCCTCTTTAGAGTCAGATAACTAAGTTACTGTAAAAATGTATTTTTACTACCTCCAAGCTGGGATCCCTCCATTTATACAGTGCTAGCTATCAACCCAGGAGCACCTTTTATTTGATCAGTTAATTTGCCTCAGATTGAAGCCAAATTCTGACACAATCCAACAAGTAACTACAAAAACTGGTGGTGAGATTGAAACGCTAGTCGTACTAATATTAGCAGCTATCAATCATTGAGGCTCACCACCCGTAAGCTGTTGTTCTGAGTCCTCTATATTCAATTACTCATTCAATTCTCCGAAGAACCTCTGAATTAGAAACGACTTTCCCCATCTTATAGACGAGCAAACCGAGGCATAGAAAGCCTAAAAAAATGTCAAAAGGAGTCCGGTTGATAAACGCCAGGACCTGAAGCCTTTGCAGGCTAGCCACAGAGCCTGTTTTGACCCATGCACCCGGAGATAACGATTTTCCTCCTTTTGATTAGTTGTCAAATACAACCCAGTTAAATTTGAATTTCAGAAAAACAGCTGTAATTCTGGACAATGAATAGTGTCCCAAATATTGTGTGGCCCATACTTACACTAAAACATTATTTGTTATTTATCTGAAAGTCAATCTTCCAACCCTACCCCAGAGGGAGCTGAGTGCACCAAGGAAGCAAAGAAAACATTTTGATAAATTTGACGTTTGGTCCCAAATCCCAAAGGAGAATTTAAATCACAGTATTAGCCTCAGGGCAGAACTCTTTTTCCCTCTCCTAGAAGCAGTCCAGAATAACAGCTCTCAAAGCTGTCTGGGGGTCAGCCTCACTTGCGAAGCTTTTTTTTTTTTTTTTTGCAGTATGCGGGCCTCTCACTGTTGTGGCCTCTCCCGTTGCGGAGCACAGGCTCCGGACGCGCAGGCTCAGCGGCCATGGCTCACGGGCCCAGCCGCTTTGCAGCATGTGGGATCTTCCCGGACCGGGGCACGAACCCGTGTCCCCTGCATCGGCAGGCGGACTCTCAACCACTGCGCCACCAGGAAAGCCCATTTGCGAAGCTTCAATAACGCACATGGCTGTGCCTGATCTGCATAATATTTAGTAGGCTTACTGTGGGATAGGGGCACCATTATTTTAAAATGAGCCCCTAAATGTTTCCTTGTCTCCTTCCCAGCTCCTCCCCCTTTTTCATAGTCCGGCTATTCATGACTGGCCTATAGACCAGTGACTGGGAATCACTGGTCTGAAACCCTGATTATAAGTTCCAGTTGACCATTTCTAGCCAGTCCAAGGAGACAGCCCAGGCTCCACCCTCCAGTGTAGGAAGAAGAGAGAATTAACAGGCTGAGAGGATGAGAGAGTTTCCACACACGCTTGGAGCTGTCACCCAGGCCTCCTCACGGTGGGTTTGCAGCCTCAGGCCTGAATGCTACATGCAAGAAAGAGATTTTTCAAAGAGAGAGAGATGGAGAGAAAGAGCCATATGAGGGCCAGGCCTCCTGTTTGGAAGCAGGCCCTGGCACAAGAGAGAGGGTAGATCATGTTAAAAATTGTCCCTGGAAGTGGAGGAAAATTGGGAAAGGGGCTGGAAAGAGCACAAGCTCCGTCTGCGATGTGGCTGCACTCCAGGAGGGTACTGGGAAATAAATTTAGCAGGACGTGGCAATTCACCAATAAACAAACAAACAAATATATAAATAAAAACAAATAGAAAATATCCAAAGGGCACAGAAAAAGAAGTTATATTTCACAAAACTGTTCAGTTATTTTACATATATATATAATATTCATTATATATGTGTATGTATATATATATATATATATATATATATACATAATACAGATATATACACATTTTATTATGTGTGTATCTATATCCTCATGTTATAAAATATGTTCCTTTCTATGGGGTCAAAAATATTTGAAAAACACCACTCCAGAGACAAACATCCCTCACTTTTGGAAAGCAGAAAGCACAGACCAGAGCAAATAGGACTCAGAGCAGGTTTTGGGAAGGAAGATGGGGAAGAATGATCTGGAGACTGGACAGCTGCCCAAAGAACGTTAAAGCAGTCGATTTAGGGGGAGTCTTGGCAGGCAGGTGGATGGGAGCACGCGAGGACCATTCACTAAGGGGAGAAGGTAAATAAAAAACGGGTATGTGTCTCATGGTTTATTTTTCATGCTGCCCTAGAAAGCCCTAGAAAGAATCTCTGCTGACATGTAGGCCACATCTGTGGGAGTCGTTACCCTGTCTCTAATGCCTTTTCTCTTTTCTAATCAATATTTTTTTAAATTGAAGTATAGTTGATTTACAATGTTGTATTAATTTCTGCTGTATAGCAAAGTGATTCAGTTATATGTATATATACATTCTTTTTAAAAATATTGTTTTCCATTATGGTTTATTCCAGGACATTGAATACAGTCCCCTGTGCTATACAGTAGGACCTTGTTGTTATCTATTCTATATATAAAAGCTTACATCTGCTAATCTCCACCCCTCACTCCATCCTTTCCCACCTGTTCTCTTTTCTTGTAGGTCAGAGAGCAAAGCCTGAGGCCGCACTGTTGGGATGGCAAGGCGTGTATGAAGTTTAAAGTGCACCCAGGAAGCAAGGTAAGGGCTGGAGAACCAACCCTGGGCTTCTGTGCTGCTGTCCCCAGACACTTATTCCAATGGTGGGTTATTGAGCTTGGGAATCATAGCTCTTCATCTTTTCCTATGGAGATGTAAAGAGAAAGGGAATTTTATGACCATGACTATGGACTTTTGTCTAAATTATTCTGAGATAACCATGAACTTGAGGACAATTTGTTGCTAACCACATCAACTATGAGGAAGGCCACAGGGAAGTATTCCTTCATGTTCTGTCAATACTGGCCAATAAAACTTTAAAAAAAATTTTTGTTGACAAAACCCCACACAACATACAACGTACCATCTTAGCCATTTTTAAGTGTAAAGTTCAGCAGTGTTAAATATATTTACACTGTTGTACCACAGATTTCTAGAACTTTTCCTTTGGGCAAAATGGAAACTATACCCACTGAATAACAACTCCCCTCTACCCCCTCCTCCCAGCCCCTGGCAACCGCATTCTTCTGTCTATTTCTATGAGTCTGACTTCTTTAGATCCTCATATAAGTGGAATCATATAGTACTTGCCATTTTGTGATTGGCTTATGTCATTTAACATAACGCCCTTAAGGGTCATCCATGATCATAGCACGTGACGGAATTTTTTTTCTTTTTAAAGGCTGAGTAATATTCCATGCCCAATAAAATTTTTGGCAATGATGAAAGTGTTCTGTGTCTACACTACCTAACATGGTAACCACTAGCCACATGTGGTTATTGAGCACTTGAAATGTGGCTAGTATGACTGAGAAATTGAGTTTTTCATTCCATTTTATTCTAATTAAAATTAAATTTATTCTAATTAAAATTAGACTGTCACATGTGGCTAGTGGCTACTACATTGGACAGAACAGTTCTAACTTGTGATTTTTTTCATTGCCACCAAATAACCTGTGTGTAAATGATTAAATCTTGTGACCATGACTATGGGCTGGGTTTTGTCTAAATTATTCTAAGATACCCATGAACTTGAGCACAGTTGGTTACTAATTACATGAACTATGAACAAGGAAATTTGCTGGGTTGGTTCACTATTATTTTTATGCTGAAATACTCAGAGTCTATCTTTATATTAATGGTTCTAGGGTCCTTGGTTATTTGAATGCCTGTCTTTACTGAGATGAAAAGAAAACCTCAGTGAACTATAAAAGGCTGGATGTTAAATGCACCCAACTACAAAGTAAAGCAAGCCATGATTTTAAAATAGCCTGTGTTGAGTCAAATTTGATCACTTAGATCAAACTTAAACGTAGAAGAGGGTTCTGGAGAAATTTTCTAGTAGGTTTGTAAAGAGAAAAATTCACTAGTTCTGCAGTGGGAGTGGAAGTGATGTTGTCCCTGGTGGAAAAATATAACCATATGCTCAGGGCTTCTGAGGAGCCCAGCTAGGCTTTACCCCTGTGTGCATTTAAAAATGTTGGCTTGAATGACTTGTTTTTGTGCCTCAGCCTTGCATGGCGCACACGTCTAGTCACAGACTGTGACTCCAGCTGTTCTTGTCCTGTCCAGAAGCAGGAGGGGCCAGGGGAAGATGAGAGTTCCTACGCCCTGGCTCTTCTCCTTCTTCATGATCACCGAGGGCTGGAATGGCTTCCTGGGGGTGAGTTTGCGTACGTCCCGTTTTCTTCTCTACCACCTCCCCTCTGTCCTTCTGGCACTTTGAGCGTCTGTCACTCTCTAGGCAACTGCAGTGACAAAATTTCATAGACTTGGCATCAGAAGTGCTGGGTTCTTGTCTCAACAATACCAGCATTAGCTGTGTGGCCTTGGATGAGTCACTTCATCTCTTGGAGCTTGGATGACCTGACTTCAAAAACCGGGATCTTGGACAAAGCCATACTGGAGATGTTTTCGAACTCAGCGCATCCTCTCCTATGGCCTCTTTGATGGAGGAAAAGCATATAGATCGACATTAGCAGTCCTTGTTGGCCTCTTCCCTGTCTATACTCACTTTCCTTTTTTTTTCCCAATAACCTTTTTTTTAATTGAAGTAATAATTTACATATTTTAGTTTAGTTTACATAGTTAATTTACAATGTGTTAGCTTCAGGTATACAGCAAAGTGACTCAGTTATACATATATATGTATACATATATATATTCTTTTTCAGATTCCTTTCCATTATAGGTTATTATAAGACTTTGAGTATAGTTCCCTGTGCTATACAGTAGGTCCTTGTTGTTTATCTGTTTTATACATAGTACTGTGTACCTGTTAATCCCAAACTCCTAATTTATCCCTCCCCACCTGCCCCTGTCCCCTCTGGTGACCATAAGTCCGTTCTCTAAGTCTGCGAGTCTGTTTCTGTTTTGTAAGTAAGCTCGTTTGTATCATTGTTTTAGATTCCCCGTATGAGTGATATCATATGATACTTGTCCTTCTCTTTCTGATACACTTCCCTTAGTATGATAATCTCTAGGTCCATCCATGTTGCTGCAAATGGCATTATTTCATTCTTTTATATGCCTGAGTAATATTCCACATCTATGCCACGTCTTCTTTATCCATTCATCTGTCAATGGGCACTTAGCTAGCTTCCATGTCTTGGCTATTGTAAATAGTGCTGCTGTGAACATTGGGGTGCATGTATCTTTTCAGATTGGAGTTTCCTCTGGATATATGCCCAGGAGTGGGATTGCAGGATCATATGGCAACACTGTTTTTAGTTTTTTTAAGGAACCTCCATACCGCTCTCCATAGTGGCTGCACCAATTTACATTCTCACCAACAGTGTAGGAGGGTTCCTTTCTCTCCACACTCTACTCACTTTCTTGATGCTTTCATCTGGGGTCATGGTTTTAATGTTCTCTGCATGCCAATGACTCCAAAATCTGTGTCTCCTTCTCACACCTGTTCCCCGAACGCCACACTCACCTATCTACTACCTACTTGGTATCTCCAGTTGGGTGCCAATATCCCCTCAACTTAATATGTCCAAAATTAAACTCTCGGTTTTTTCTCACCAAACCTTCTTCTCCTTGCCCATCTCAGCAAGTGGTATCACTGCCTCTCCAGCTGCTTAAGCAGAAAAATTATTATTACGCTTGACACTTCTCATAATCCACGTCTAAACCATTAGATCTTTTTTTCTGGTTTTCTCTTTAAAATATATCCAGAATCCAAACACTTCTCACCAACTCCATGGCTACCATCCTGATCCACACCTTCATCATCTCTCACCTATATTATCTCGGTAGCTCCTGAAACGCTCTCATTGCTTCGGTGCTTGTCTATTCCCAACACGGCCTCAGGATTGAGCCTTCTAAAAAGTGGAGCAGAGCACATCTTTCCTCTGTTCAGAACTCTCCAGCAGGCTCCCATCCCACTCAAGCAAAAGCTAAGCCCTTGCCACAGCCCAGAAGGATCTACAGGACCTGCCTCCCCAGAGATACTCTCTGACGTCACTTCCTGCCCCGCCTCCCCGACTCCACTTAGCTACTCTGGCCTTCATGTGCCAGGCATATTCTTATCCCAGGGCCTTTGCACCTGTTCCTCCCTCCTCCTGGGAAGTTCTTTCTCAGGGATCCTCACTTTCCTGCTTCCTTCAGGTTTGTGCTCAAAAGGTGCCTCAGCGATGTCCTTTTCTGCCCCCCTCCCCCACCATCCCTGGCTTGCATTTTAGATCCATGATTTCAGTTTATCTGGGAAACCCAACGAGGCCTTATGAAATACAATATGACCAAGGCTTGCTGTAATTCTTCTTCTTTTTTTTTTTCTCTTAACAGAGTGATGATGGCATCAAAACAAAGCAAGAACTCATTTTAAATAAGAAAAAGCCTCTAGGTGAGACTCCCTCAGATAGCATGGTACAGCACACCCTGGAGCCCAGAGAGCAGGGTTCAAATCCCAGGGGTGCTCCTGATGGGTTTTATGATCTTTGGCACATCGTTAAATACCTCAAATCCATAAAACGATAATTACAGTAATTCCTTGTGAGGATGAAATAATATAATAAAGGCATAGTATCCTGTCCCATAACCAGCCAGTAGCTGCTCCATACTCGTCCTTTCCCTCTTCACCTTGATCCCAATAATGTAATGAATGGCACAGACTTCAGTCTAGGAATGAGTTGTGGTCTGAAATTTGATTTGCGGGTCTGATGTTTCAAGCATTGTATATATTTCCTCATGGAAACAATGGTACACACAGATGGTGGTTAGGTTCCTGGGTCAGTCCTCAAAAGCCTTTTTACGGTGCCATGAATCTGCCATCCAGCAATGTGCTAATAGGGCCATAGACCTTACCACACTGTAGCAAGGCTACAATTCTTTGGGAAAATGAAACCAGAGCTTCAACTTGGAATGCCATGGAAAGGTAAAAGCACACGTATACATTGAACTGTTACCAGTGCCATGCACTATTCTAAGTGTGTTAGATGAATTAAATCCTCACAAAGATCCTCTGAATTAGGCACATTCTCCATCTTTATTTTATAGATAGTGAAACTGACAAGGCCGGTGGGTAGGTGGGGCAGGATTCAACGCCCAGTCAGTCTGGCTCCAGAACCAGAGCCATTCATCTTTCCCCACTTCCCCACCTATTACCTGCTTGGGCCTCCCCTTAGCTTACATCCCTTGGAGTAATTCCCAAGGCCGGGACAGAGTTTCCGGCCTTAAGGAGATGTGGGGAGGGGTGAGTTGGTGGCAACTACAGCAGGCAGGAGTCTCCTGTAAATGTCCCGGGACATGCTGCAGCTTCTGGATTTCCTTCTGAGAAGTCTAGGGATTGATCCAGCTGCTTTTCTTCCCTATACATCTCCCAGCTCCCCCAGACCCTTAAGAAATGGGACAGTCTCATAGAAGCTCCCCATCTCACCTGTGCCTGTAGAAAGCATGGTGCAGTCCTGAGAGATCTAAGGGATTGTAAGAGGTTTCACTGCCAGTGATAACAAAATGAGACCCAGGAAAAAAGGATGTTCACCTTTTGCCTCTTTTTCTCTGAGGCCCTTCACATTCTTAACCTGGGGTCCACAGAGGACCTTGGGAGGATCTTGAGACCCCATGGAACTTCATACAGAGTTTCATGTGAATGTGCCTAAGTGAATTCTGGGTGCGATTCCTCTTCTCTCCCAGCCCAAAACACCTAATGGTCTCTTCTTAGGGAAACAAAAGGTACTGCTCAGAAACGATAAGGTGGAGGTGAGGGTGCATCAAGGCTCAAGTAAGGTTTGGTTTGGTTTTACTCGTGCATTTCATCTCAGTATCAAACTCAGCTAATTAGTGGAACATTTGTACAGGAGAAGGAAGGGCTCTTTGGAGAGGAAAGAGGGGACTGGGGGTTTTATATCAGAGATACGTCCAGGAGACCAGAGCTGGGGGAGGAGGCGGGGAGAGTGACCAGGACTTTCTCACCTCTTCTCCCTTCAGTCTTGACCCTGAAACTTGACTCTGGATGTGACCTGAGAAGTATATAAAGTCAGGAGGGCGATGCTGGGGTGGGTCAGAAAGCACAGAGCAGCTGGCCTGGCCGAAGTCAGAGGAGAGAGGTGTCTTAGGCACCTGTGGACCATCTGATGCTTTGCTCGGGATGCTCATTTTTAGTCCATGTCTGGATGAATGGAAGCGACCAAGCCATGTCCGTGACCCTCAGGCTGAATCTGACAAGCGCTCCGAGGTCACTTGCTCTGCAGTATCTCCCTCCCAGCCTGAGAAAAGAAGCCTTTGACGGTCTCTCTTTCTCTCTAGGTCCAATCCAGGAATACGAGCTGCTGCTTCAGGTAGCCTATCGAGATTCCAAGGAGAAAAGAGACGTGAAGAACTTTCTGAAGCTTTTGGAGCCTTGCCCTGTTTTTGGGCCGGTGAAGATTATCAGAGCAAAGGCCACCACGTGTGAGTCAGTCTCTGGTAACTGGGAGTGGGAATGGGGAAGGTGGTGTGTGAGTCGGGAGAGGTTAGGTTATGCTGGGGAATCAATCATCCCCCCAATATCTGTGGCTGAAAAGCATAAATGCTTGTAAAAAATATCTGGCCAACAGCACTAATGACCACCACAATAGGGTTAGGAGAAGTTAAATGATTTATCTAAAGCAAGGGTTCTCAGAGTGTGGTACCCAGACCGACAGTAGCAGCAGCATCAGGGAACTTAAAAGAAATGCAGATCCCTGGCTCCATTCCAGACTTACCGAATCATACACTTTGGGATGAGACCCCTCCCAGAAGGTTCTGGCGCATGATCACGTTTGAGAACCATTTATTGCGCACCATTGTGCATATTTTCACAACCGTATGTGGTGACTTTGCCCCATTTTTTTTTTTTTTTGTCTATTGTAAAGGAAAGGTTTCTTAGTAGGAGTTTTAGGTCCAATACAAGCATACAGGATTGGTTAATAAAATTTTTCATCATGACTCTCAACAAAAAGGTTTCTCTGCCTTTGCCATATTGCTAACAGGGACTTTGGGGGAGTGATGCTAGGTGGATGGGAGCCTCCGACAAGACAGTGGACAAATACCATCTAGAACCCTTTAAATAACTCTCAGGTCGACATATCCTCTTCTGCTTCTTTCTCCATGTAAGTGGTACCGACTGGGCACACATCCTTCTTTTGGACGCTAGCCCCAGACACTTGATTGTTATGTTAGCTGGGTTTCTGATCCAACCTCAGTATCTATTGAGTGGGACGTTTCTTTAATCTTAAACATACTTGTTTCCATCTTGTTTTCATCCTTACAGCTTTTGGAGAGAAATATCTCTAGCTTTCGGTTCAGATTCTATATCAGAACCAAAGATGAGAACTCAACTATAGCCAATTTATTAACCAGGTCTCGTGAGACCAAGCTCTGTTTTTTTGTGCAGACTGTGGCATCCAGAACGGGGTCCTGCGCTGTGCCTGTGACGACGGCTACTCCTGGTTTCCTCCCTCATGCCTTGATCCCCAGAAATGCTACCTTCACACAGAGGGATCTCTCCAGAGCTGTGATTGTCATCTCAACAACCTCACCCAGAGTGTCCATTTCTGTGAGAGAACAAGTAAGTGTGTAAGGATACCAAGAGGGGAGCTGGGGCCCCTCCCACCTCCACATGTGACAGAGAGAGAAGGACCACCAGGTCTGTACCCCAGTGTTTCTCTTTGCCTCCCAGAGAAGAGCCAGTGTTTACAGGGAGTTGGAAGGGCAGTGATGACGTACCCTGCTAGGCTTGGCTGGACACAGCGAGAGCTCCGTAAGTGCAGAAAATTCAGAAATGCGAGCTGATGTTTGGGCGCTAGTTCAGCCTGGAGGTACATCCAGCTCACCTCGACAATTCTACGATCCTTCTGAGATTTAGGGAGATTCCCTGAAATTCCAAGTAGGGGAACAGCTTGAGTAAATAACGTTTTTCTTCCCACCTTCTGTTTACTTCTTTGGCCAACATCAATTTCCAGAAAATAAAAATTTAGAGGTGTGCAGGCAGGGAGGGTTGCCTAGTGATTACATTGAAAGAAATTCTGTAAATTGCCAACAAATATGTGTGTTGAATGAATTGCCAAAACCAAACAAAAGTTGAAAGTCTAGTTTAGGAGCCAGTGGACGCTGAGGGAGCTACTGCTGACTTAGGTTGATGTCCAGCGGATGATGGGGTGAGCCGCATGACGTGGGTTCCGACAGCTTGAAGGACTTTAAGGAACGTCCCCAAAGACTAGTCCAGTTATCTTGAAGCTCCAGATTTTGGTAGAGTGGAGCAAAGAGTGGAGGAGGACCTGAAATAGCCCAGCTTTCCTGGGTCTCCCTGGATCCCTTTCCCAGAACCACAGCAGTTCAGGTTAAGGTAACACTTATTTATTTATTTATTTTAATAATTTGATTGAAGTATAGTTGATTTACAATGTTGTGTTTCATTTCTGCTGTACAGAAAAGTGACTCAGTTTTATATACATCTATCTATCTACCTACCTATCTATCTATCTATCCTTTTGCATATTCTTTTCCATTATGGGTTATCAAAGGGTGTTGAATGCAGTTCCCTGTGCTATGCAGTAGGACCTGTTGATTATCCATCCTGTATATAATAGTTTGCATCTGCTAATCCCAGACTCCTAATCCTTCCCGCCTCAAGTAACACGTATTTATTAAACACCATCTTTATACCCAGATCTGGGGCAAATTCTGGGAGGTCACCGTGAGGCATTTCTCTTGCTGTCGATCAATTAGCAAGCTACCTGGGGAGGCCAGGCTGTTAACACATAAAAGAAGACAATGTGATCTCTTCAACAAATTTTGATGAAAGCCTACACTTTGAAAAGTGGTCCAAGTCTGATCCATCTTTGGGGGATACAAAGATGGATCAGACAGGGATTACACTCACAAGGCGATTCCCAAAGTAGAGTGGGGACACACATTCATGAGGTGTGTTCACAGATAGATGTGTAGGTGAAGAGGCTGGAAGGGAGGTATGGATAAAGTACTGTAAGAATTTAAAGGAGAGGAAGACTCTTTTCATCTGGGGCCCAGGGAAGGTCTTGCTAAAGAGGCACATTTAACTAAGTCCTGAATGAAAGATACACAGGATTTGTCCATCCAGAGGTGGGGAATAACCTGTCCCAGAGGAGAAAAGCACCAGTGATGGGTAAGCAAGGGGTAAGTTGGAGTTAGCAAGTAGTGATTTTTTTTTTTTTAATTTTTAAATAGGGACAATGTTTAAGCTCAGGGCCTAGACTGGGATAAGTGACTGCCTTTTATAACCACATGTGAGTGGCTACTCATTTACCTGCTTATAAGGTCATCTTGATTATCGCACTTTCCCATTATGTTCCAAATCCACAAAAGAGAATTCTGGTTTTATGGATGCTTCCTATATTACTTTAGGTGAACATTCATCATAAAAAGAAATTGACAAAAAAAAGAAAAAAAGGAGTTGAAGTACCAGTGTCAAATAGATGGGCTGAATTAGACTTCTGTAATTTTAAGCTATAATATATCAAGTGAGTAATTTTTATCTCTGTAAATTTCTTTTTATTTTCCATAGAGGTTTGGGGTACTTTCAAAATTAATGCAAGATTTACAAAAGATCTTTTGGATTCATCTTCTGCTATATACTCCAAATATACCACTGGAATTGAAATTCAAGTAAGCACCTTCTACTTATTACAAAAGAAATCATTGCCTAAACGTAAGTTCAGGTGTTTCCAATTCAACATATTTATTTAACACATATTCTTAATTTTTCATTTTCAATGAGTTATTACATAGCAGTTAATCACTCTGCCCACAAGTGATGTACTTTGAACATTTTCCTTCAAGGAGCGTTAAGCAATTGACTTCTTCCCATTTCTTTAGTGTTTAGTTTTGCTCATTTGTTAGGGTAATATTTAACCAAGCCATCTTGATTCTTTTCTTTTTTTTTTTTAAGTACTAAGGATCTTTATTCTCAGGTCTGATATTGAATCTGTGGCTGCAGGTAATGTCACTATTTTGAGAATAAAAGTTCCCACTGTCTTCATTCTTTGCAAGTCTTCAGCCACAAAGTTACACCTTATTCTCATAACAAGATAAGTGAATCAAGCCTTCTTGATTCTTTTCTGATTTTTATTTGTCAAAAGAAAGCTTTCATGATCTAAGCTCAATTGCTAACATTTGGGATTTGTTCCTTAAAGAAGCCTCTCTTGTTAGAGGCTAAAGAGGGTTACTGACCAAAATTTTGGACTTCATAATGAAGTGACATAAAACTACCTCTACCTAGGATGGTGGTTTAGATGTGGTCCTAACTGAAGACATGCACAAACATTTCGCAGGCAGATTCAGTTTAAGCATCTATTGAAATCAATGGCTTATTTAGGGGAAGGAGAAAATAGATTTTGGGTGAATTTATTACATTATCTGGCACCCGACCCATCCTCTAGTCTAAGCAGTTGGTTCTGCGTTCTTTATTAGCAACCTCAAAATTAAATTATATGTTTGTACGGAGGCGTGTGTGTGTACATTTTCTGCTATCATTTTAAATGTATTTCTACAACATGCAACTACCTCTCACCATATCTCTTTCCTTTTCTTGGTGCTTCCGTTGGTTATTTATTGTCTGCGACCATTTTTTGCTCAAATGTCTTTCTTGTGTGGGAACAAAGATCAACATATTGCTCTTTGCTCTCTTTGTAAAGCTTAAAGAAGCATACAAAAGTATCCAAGGTTTTGAGTCAGTTCAAGTCACCCAGTTTCGGTAAGTAATACAATCGTCTTAGAAGGGCATCCCTGGAATCATGCACCCGTCCTGCAGGATGCCTCATGCTCTTTCCAAGTGACCTTGACAGAAAATAAGTCAACTGCTTTTTGAAGTAGGATTCTTACTAAAACTGAATAAAAGTCTGTGGTGCTTTAAAAAATCTTAAGAAGAAAGCCTATATTCTCATTTAAATGCCTTTGCGAATATAAATATTAAATGGCATTCTCGAAGCTATGGATCAGAAACTAGAATTGGAAACCCGCATGGCTTGGAAGGAAGCAGGAGGACGTGGTGTGCATGCATGGGAAGGGGCGAGTGGTGGTGACAAGGGTTGTGGGTTGAGGAGGGATGCGTTTTCTCCTTCCATTAACACAGAGGGTGTGATGTTGTATAACTGGGGGCCAGAAGGGGCTCCTTGGGTAAAATATTATATTTTTGTGTAGATATCATGTATGCACCATAGTTCAAAGCCCAGTAGTCATTGTCTACAGCAAATAAAGAGATATTTAGTAAATTACCCTTTTGTTTACACTTTAATTCAAAAGTTATTTGGTTAGTTACCCGTGTGTGTATTGATTACCAGCTATTTATAGTCTGCTTGATAGAGGAAGTGACTTAGAGGTCAGAGAACTTAACTTCTTATATACTTTTTTCACAGCTAAAGAATAGCTATAGGAAATTTTCAGTAGCTTTTGCTATAAATATACTGTCCTGGACATTATCCTCTAAGCCCTCTCATGTACCTATAAAAAGGCTCACATGTATAATATTCTTTAAAATTCAGTGCTAGGAAAAACACTGCTTCTTTTTTCTTATATCAAGGTCTATATAATTAATCTAACTTATGTTTTTGAGTTTGCCATCATTGAATTCATAGACAGCATTGAAACTCAATCAACAGTTTTGTATTCAATATTCACATGTTTCTTTTCCTTGGTCCTGGTTTTCTATTTATATTTCTAATTTATATTCCATCATATATATATATATATCTTACAAACTGTCTCCAATAATTTGTAGACAAAATCACAGTAAAAGTAGATATAAGTCTATAAAATACAACTATTTTGGTTTTACTCTTTACATACATGATCTAAGGTAAATCTTAGTCTCCCACAGTCTCAATTTATTTATCTGTCAAACAGGACTGTTAACACCTGTGGAATTTGAGTTAACCTCATTACATAAAATGAAATAATAGAAAAATACTTTTCAAACACTATAGAAGGGCCGTATCAATGAAAAGGCATTGTGATCATCACAGCATAAAAGGGTATTTGGGTTTATTTATTGTGAGTTCAATGTAGTTCAATGTAGTGATTAAGAATTTGAGCTTTAGAGAGCCAGAGGTTCATATCCATCAATTAATAATTAATGACTTGACCCAACTTCTTTAGGACTCAGTTCTCTTATCTATAAAATGAGAATAACCCTAACCCTCATGGAGTTGCAGGATTAAATTAATCCATGTTATCTCACTTGCTTTCATAACTTCAAATACCATCTGTATACAGATGGGTTCTAAATTTATTACTTGACCTCAGCCTCTCCCCCAAACTCTGGACTCCAATATCCAATGCTATTAATATCTCCAGGTGATTTTCTAGTAGGCATGTCAAACGTAACATGTCCAAAATGTCCAACTGCCCCCCGTCATAAGCTTTCATCTCCTTCTCCCACTGTCTTCCCCATCTCATTTCCAGAGATGCTGTTCTTCTAATTGCACAGACCCAAATCTTAGAGCTATCCTGTCTTAATTTATTTTCCAATAAATTATACTTAATTATTGAAGTATAATTGACATACAGTGATATGCTCAAAACTTAATTGTATAGCTTTATTAGCTTTGACAAATACTAATACATGCCACCTCCTATCAAGACAGACCATTTCCATTATCCCCAAAGTTCCCTTGTGCCCCTTTCCAGCCAATCTTCATGCACATTCCTACCTCCCTACCAGAAATAACCACTGATCTTATTTCTATCACCACAGGCTGGTTTTGCTTATGCTAGAACTTTACCTAAATGGAATCATGTAGTGTACAGTTTTTTGGGGGGGCCTGGCTTCTTTCACTCAGCCTAAGGCCTTTGAGACTCATCCTTGGCTTTTTGAGTATCAGTGATTCCTTCCTTTTTATTGCCCAGTAATAATCCATTGTATGAATATACTACAATTTGTTTTTCAATTCCCTGGGGTCGTTCTTGCCTGGTTTCTTTCTCCCACACCCAAAATCTGCTCCCTTAGCAAGTCTTCTGGCTCTATCTTCAAATACAACCTGAAACTGACCAGTTCACTTCTCCCCCCCCCACACTGCTACTCAATCCGTTCAGGGCACCACCCTTTCCTTCCTAACTAGTTTTCCTGCTTCTCTGCTTCCTCCCTTCACCTATTTTCTACACAGCAGCCAGAGTGATGATCTTAAATTATAAATCTGATCATGCCATGCCTTTTCAAAAAGAATAAAACCTTTTAATAAAAGATGAAATTCAGACTCAAAGGCCCTGTTCCATCTAGCTCCTGGGTACCCCTCGAGGGTCATCTCCTATCCATCTCTCACCTGCTCATTGAATTTTAGTCACGTTAGCCTTGAAGTTTGTCAGACTCACAGGCATTTTCTTGCCTCCAGCCCTTCTCAGGTGCCGGCCACGCTGTACCAATTCTCTTTGCATCACTGGCTGTTTCTTTTCATCCTTCAGGTCTCAGCTTCAAAGATCCTCTGCACAGAGAAGCCTTTCCTGACCAGTCTTATTTAAAGTGGGCCTCACGTCTACTTGATATTCTTTTTTTAAAAAGATCTACAGGAAGAAAACTTTATTTTATTTTAAAAGTTGTATTGGTGTGTTGTTGATTTTCAATGTTGTCTTAGTTTCAGGTGTACAGCAAAGTGAATCAGTTATACATATACATATATCCACCCTTTTTTAGATTCTTTCCCCATATAGGCCGTTATAAAGTATTAGGTAGAGTTCCCTGTGCTGTACAGTAGGTCCTTATTAGTTATCTATTTTATATATAGGAGTGTGTATATGTCCATCCCAATCTCCCTCCCCCCACCTTACCCTCTGGTAACCATAAATTTGTTTTCTACATCTGTAACTGTATCCCTGAACTTGTCTCTCATAACACTTAACAAAATTTGGAATTATATATATATATAATTATGATTATATATATATATATATTTGGTGGTTATTTGTTTCTTATTTGCCTTGCCTTCTCCACTGGCATGTAAGCTCCAAGAAGGCAAAGACCAAATCTGTTTGATCTATTCCCACGGACCCAATGCCATCCCCACACAGAATAAGCCTTGAGTGACTGAATGAATGGATCTCATTTTTCTTTCCAAGTCATCACTGTAGAAATGGAAGCATCATTGCTGGGTATGAAGTTGTTGGTTCCAGCAACACATCTGAACTGCTGTCAGGCATTGGGCAGGCAGCTAAGAAGGCTAAGATGGGCCTGCATCAGCTGTTTCCACTAGAAGACAACTCTTTCAGAGTGTTCGGAAAAGGTAACACTGGATTCCTGTCCTCTGTAGGGAAGTAGATTAGGGGAGCCTAATTAGTAGATTGCATTATATATTGGAGATGTTCCCGAAACAGAATTGTTCTAAGACTGACTTTTAGTAGAAACAAGCAGCTGTTTCTCCTCCCGACCAGGATGAAACTCAATTTCAGCTCCACTATTTCAGACGCTTGCTCATGGGTCAGCTGACCTCCAGTTCTTAGTGTAAACGTCACACAAGACCGATTCACTGCAGGCGCTGATGGAAATGATTCAGCAATCGTTTCCTGGTATACATGCTGGAAGAGCCCTGGGGCTGATGAAATTCCTAAATCATAATCCAAGGGACCCAGGAGAGAAAGCATTTTTTCCAGGTCATTCACATACACCCAGACACACAAACACACACAGATATACATAGACACACACACCCTACTTCTTTTCTTCAGATGTTTAAAAAATTCTTTACATTCAGTTTTAAACCTCTCTTACCAAGCTTTGTGCCACTTTCAACATTTATTCAACAAATATTTACTAAGTATCCAAAGTGATTAGGCACTTAAGACACAGCAGTGGGGAAAAGAAACAAAATTCATAGCCCTTGTGGTTCTTCCTTTCAAGGCTTCCTCTTCGCAGTCCCAACGTGGTAAGAATATATTATGAAGGGCTAGCTGCAAGAGGAACTAGTGGCTGATCACGATGTGAGAAGCCTTTAAAGGGGTACAAAGTAGGACATGTCACCCCCAAATGGCAACTGCCCATCTTTTAACCCTGTCATGCCTGCTTTGTCCCATAGTGTCTTGAAGATTTTCTGGTTTTCTAGCATTCCCTTAAAGAGTGAAAATATTTCCTGGGAGGGATCACACCCTGTCTTACTTTCACCGAATACTTAACTATTTGATAGCCCATTAAATTCAGATTGTTGGCATAGATCAGACACCTGGAGGGAAAGGGGGCCAGCCTTGGGGAGGGTAGGACATCAGGAAAGGGGAAAAGGGGTTGATGGGGTGAAGCTGGGCATCAAAGACAAACTTCTCCTACTCCTGGGTTTTGTCTGAAAACGTGACTTAAATAGTACTGCTTTATGGTTTATAGAGAGTGTCAAAATATTCAGAGACATCTTTCTTCTTCGTTTCCATTCTTTCCCAGCCCAGTGTAACAGCGTAGTCTTTGGATTTGGGTCTACGAATGATGCGTATACTCTTCCCTGTAGCAGCGGCTACTCCGGAAGCATCACGGCCAGGTGCCAACCCTCTGGGTGGCATGTCCTCAGGGAGACGTGTGTGCTCTCCGAGCTGGAAGAACTGAAGAAGGTAAAAAAAGCACTTCCACCTTGCAGATTTGCCCTGGTTTTGAGTTTCACAGTGCGTGTCTCCCAGTGAGCGTGGCTGGGTGGAAGGTAAAATGTATCAATTTGTCTCATTGGTCAGAAGTCAGTGACATCAGACCCTGGGAAACCCAGGGAGTGTAGGCGTGAGTAATGAGTCTAGGTAGCAGCCGAGAACCTCAGAAACGTAAGATTGGGTGGTTTTGGGGGGAGGGTGCTGCAGAGGTGTGAATCAATGCTGAAGAGAGCTGAAGATGGCCTCTGAAAGCCTGGGAATCAAAGATCCAAGTGAAGGTATAAGTCAGAAGCTATAACCTTAGTACGTTTGTCAGAAATCGGGGCAGGGAATGAGTCAGCCATATAGAATGATAGAACTTCAGTGGCTCTCCAGGGCCATGTGCCTCACCAACTTCCTTCTATAGATCAGAAAAGGGGAGACTAAGGGGCTAGTGGTCCCTCTGGTAGCAGTAGTGTTGAACTAGAAACATGGTCACTTGATTTCCGGTCCAGTGCTATGACCTTCACATGATGCTCTCTTAGGAAGGTTCAAGTACTTAAGATGTAGTAGATAGAAAGACGGAAGCAAATGGTGAGGATTTAAAACCCAAGTCATGGAAGAGGAACTCCAGGACCAGCTCACAGACACTATCCTGCAAATAGTTCATAGCGAGCAGAACTTCAGTCCCAGCCAGAGACCCTGCTTTGGAAGCAGAGAACCCCACAGTATTCACCAAGGGACCGTGGAAGGCTTACTGCTCTCTTTCTGGACCTCAGTTTTCTCATCTGTAAACTGGGGAGGGAGATTGGAGCAGATGTCTTCTGAGGTTCATCCTTGTTCTTGCCTTCTTTGGCCCAGTTTCTGGACACGAATCGTAGCTGGGACTAGGTCACCCCAGGGTGTGAGGACAGTCAGATCCCAGGCGCCCTAGGCGGAAAACAGCTCTGTCAGCTGAGAAGAGTAAAAAGGAAAACAGGGGGGATCTGGGATCCTGGGTTGATGTGCTTTGAACAGAGGGAATATCCCTCTTGGCTGCCTTCCGAATTAGCTCAGTGTCGTGGAAGCAGACGGGAGCCTCAAGGAAGAAGTAAAACCCCAAATGCAGTGACCAAGTGTAGCAAAATATCCACGTATGTCCCTCTAAATCCTCCATAGGGATTTCTCAGCATAGTATAATGGATATAACATAGGATTTAGTGCCAGGTAGACCCTACCTTTCCACTTCCTAGCTGGGTACTGTTCGGAAAGTCACTGAATCTCACTGAACATCAGGTTCTGTATAATCAGGGTAACAATTTATATAAAAGTGCTTCTTAGTGAATCTCTTCAAGTTTCAATTTCCTTAATCATAAAATGAAAATATCATGGTACCTCCTTTAAAGGGTAATGTAAAGATGAAATCATTGAATCCCCAGTAAAACGTTTAGCACACTGTATGGAAAATAAAAAGCACTGAATGAGAGCCATTATATCATTGTTATCATTGTTATATGATTATCCTACGTTATAATGCACCATACAAATGCTGGTTATTCGTGGCCATGAAATCTGATTTAAGTCTGATGAAACACAAGCATTTCATTGTTTTCTAGAACATAACCATTTCTATTCCTAGAATTTCAGTGTGATTGCCAGCAACGCCACTGAGGCAACCGTGTCATCCTTGGTGCAGAATCTTTCAATGGTCATTCAGCAAAACCCATCAACCACAGCTGGGGATCTGGCTTCTGTGGTGTCAATTCTGGGCAATATCTCATCCCTGTCCCTAGAAAGACACTTCAGTGTGTCCAGTTCGACAATGGAGGTAAGGTCTACCTGAGCTTGAATGGCTCACTTTAAATGCTCAATCTTGCAGGAGGAATGGCAGAAGCCCCAGTTGATGGGGTGCTGTTGAAAAGGACCAAAGAGCCATGGAACAGTCTTGACGTGAGCTTCACTGCTTCCTCAGCAGTGTCTAAGCAACCCCCGGGATCAATTATGTGAGTTCAAAGTGAGAGGGAGCCGCCTCCAGGCAGACTGCCTGGATAGCAGCTGGCTGAGGGGAAGGCGTGAGCCTCTGCCCTGAATGACGCTGAATGACACAGGTGCCAACTTTTTAATATTTAATATGAGTCGGCAGTTGTTCCTTCCCGTGGCTATAAGCTCTGACTTTAGTATATCATATTTAGTATATTTTAAGAGCTCCATTTTTGCGACTGGGGAATTCATGACTTAGTTTGGACATTTAAAAATTAACTTTAAAAATTACTCAAATGAGACATGCTCACTATAAGATATACAAAGAAACAAAAAGAAAAATAAGTGATATGTAATCTTGTCACCCTAGAATAGCCGCTGCTTACATTTTACGTGTCACCTCAGTGCCTAGAAAATGGACAAGGGACACATAGCAGGTACTCAATAAATATTTGTTAAATAAATATCCTTCCAAACACTTTGGATGTGTGCATTTTATATGTTAAAGCGTATAATATTTTACAAAATTGGGTTATATAATGTATATTGTTACATAATCACACAATCCTGCTTAACTGTATAAGATGAACATAACATCACAGATAACATTAAGTGTGAATAAGTTAAACTCCCTGAATCAAAGATGCTCAGATTTGTTTTTTTTTTAAAGTCTGACTATGCATTGTTTACAAGAGACCAACTAAAACAAGATGACACAAAAAGGCTAAAAATAAAATAAAGGACAAAAACAGAGCAGCAAACACAAACAAAAAGAAGGCAGAGGTTGCTGGGGCAATAGGAGAAGCTCACTATGGGATCCCGGCCAGAAGCCACAGAGGGCTCAGTTAGGGTAAGACTCAGCCAGAGGGATAGACGCCCGCAGCAGATGCCTGGGAACGAGACCCGTAAGAGTGAGTGAGGGTCCTGGGTGAGAAAACGCTGCCTTTCAGGTGCGTTTGGAAAAGGAACCTGGTTTTTGTTGTTGCTATTGTTTTTGTTTGTTTGTTTGGCCTTACTGCTTGAGGGATCTTAGTTCCCCAACCAGGGATCGACCCTGGGCCCTCAGCAGTGAAAGCGCAGAATCCTAACCACTGAATTGCCAGGGAATTCCTTGAAAAGGAATCTCAAACTGAGACTGACCCTTAAAACCCACAACAATTCAATGCTTCCTTGTTGCATGTCCAGTGTTTAAGGATTTTTGCTTTATATTCTCCTCTATTAAAGAAAAGTCATAAATACAAATGAATTAAAATTTGAACATTCATGACATGAATTTAGAACTTCTGATATTAGCAAAAAAACATGATATGGGAAAGCAATTACAAGTAACGTTTCACTCTTGGACCCTCAGCCTGAGGAGTCATGCAGTCCCGTTTGCCATCTCAGAAGGAAGAAAATGCACACTGCAGCACCCATTGCAGGATTCTCCTCCTCTCCTCCGAAGCCCCAGCCGGAGTATGAATTCCCGGGGGTGATCACCGTGGAACTGACATGATTCTGCTGACCCTCATTTCTTTCTTTCTTTTTTTTTTGCGGTACTCGGGCCTCTCACTATTGTGGCCTCTCCCGTTGCGGAGCACAGGCTCCGGACACACAGGCTCAGCGGCCATGGCTCACGGGCCCAGCTGCTCCGCAGCATGTGGGATCTTCCCGGACTGGGGCACGAACCCGTGTCCCTTGCATCGGCAGGCGGACTCTCAACCACTGCGCCACCGGGGAAGCCCTGACCCTCCTTTCTTAACCCAATGCTTCCACTGCGTGGAGCCCCAGAGCTGAATTTCATTGCTGAGTTTTAATGTGGTCCTCAACTGAGCCAATTCTCTGGGCCATTTTCCTGAGCTTAAGACTAACGACTATCCACCCGTAGTCCTCTGATCTGTTTACTCAAAATCCAAACTGACTTTCACCCTTGTATTTCAGAATGTCATCAGTATATCTGACCACATCCTTAATTCTACCTCGGTAACCAACTGGACAGTGTTACTTCAGAGAGAAAAGAATGCCGGGTCCCAGGTCCTGGCGTCACTGGAAAACATCAGTGTTCTGGTCCCTTCGACAGCTCTGCCTCTGGAATTTTCTCGAGAATTCATTAACTGGAAAGGGATTCCAGCATCCTCAAATCAAAGCAATTTGGGTTACAACTATCAGACTGAAATGTTCCTAAAAAACCCCTCCATTCCCATCAGAGGCCATGCATTAATTAGGTCACACCAATTCCAGGAGCCCCTTCCAGAAACTATCATCAGCATGACCTCCTTGACCCTGGGGAACATTCTACCTGCTGCCAAGAATGGAAATGCTCAGGTCAATGGGCCCGTGATATCCATGGTTATCCCAAACTACTCCATCAATGAAATTTTCCTGACTTTTTCCAAGATAGAATCAAATCTGAGCCAGCCTCATTGTGTGTTTTGGGATTTCAACCATTCGCAGTGGAACGATAATGGCTGCCACCTAGTGAATGAAACTCCAGACTCGGTGACGTGCCGCTGTACTCACCTGACCTCCTTCTCCGTGCTGATGTCACCCTCTGTCCCCCCTGACATTGTTCCCGTTGTGAAATGGATCACCTTTGTGGGACTGGGGGTCTCCATCGGAAGTCTCGTCTTATGCCTGACCATCGAAGCTCTGTTTTGGAAGCAGGTCAACAGAAGCCAAACCTTGCACACGCGTCACATTTGCATGGTGAACATAGCCCTGTGCCTCCTGATCGCAGACATCTGGTTTATTGTCGCTGCCTCCGTGCGCACCACGGCGAACCCGTCTGGAGTCTGCACAGCTGCAGTGTTCTTTACACACTTTTTCTACCTCTCCTTGTTCTTCTGGATGCTTCTGCTCGGCTTCCTGCTGGCTTATCGGGTTATCCTGGTGTTCCACCACATGACCACGCCTTTGTTGGTGGCTGTCGGGTTCTGCCTGGGCTATGGGTGTCCTCTCATTATATCCATCGTCACCATTGCGGTCACACAACCCAGCAATGGCTATGAAAGGAAAGATGTGTGTTGGCTTAACTGGTCCGATGGGAGCAAACCTCTCCTGGCCTTTGCGGGTCCCGCCCTGACTATTGTGGCTGTGAATCTGGTGGTGGTCCTGTTAGTTCTCACGAAGCTCTGGAGGCCCGCTGTTGGAGAAAGGCTGACTCAGGACAGCAAGGCCACTGTCGTCCGCGTGGGGAGGAGCCTTCTCGTTCTGACCCCCCTTCTAGGGCTCACCTGGGGGTTTGGCATAGGAACAATGGTTGACAGCCGGAATATGGCCTGGCACGTTATTTTCGCGTCACTCAATGCATCCCAGGTGAGAGCGGTGAGAACAACTTACTACATCATCGGGTAATTGGAATAACTGTAGGGAACTGAGGATGGGAAAACCACTCTGGGGGCGATCGATCTCATTTCCCTGCCTCTAGCAGGACTATTGTAACCCAAATTGCCTGGCAACAGTGAATAGAAAAAAATAAAATAAAATAAGATCCAGTCTTCCCAACAGTGATTCTCACACTGAAGCAGAATTTTGGGCTTCTTCCGTAATCCATTCCAGGGTTTTAAATCTGTTAGAGTTCACATAGCTAACGCTAATCTCTCTTGCCGTTGACCCAGTCCTCTTTGTCTTGTGCTGATGTCTGTTAAAGCACACAGGGAAAGGGAAATAAATCCAGAGTGCTTTTTGAGTCTGAATGGTGCAGAGGAAGTCCCTAATGTGCCATAAAGCAGGGCCTGGCCAATTGTAGGCAGCACTGTCTTTGTAAATAAAGTTTTATTGGAACACAGCCATGCCCATTCATCTACATAGGGCCTGTGGCTGTTTTCCTTACACAGGCAGAACTGAGCAGTTGTAAGAGACTGGATGACCTGCAAAACCTGAAATATTTACTCTCTGGCTCTTTACAGAAAAAGTTTGCCGAACTCTGCTGCCAGGGATGGGTTTTACATGCCACGATCAGAGAGTATTCAGAGAGTAGGTGGGCAAAGCAATCCTTAGGTTTTGGTGAATCTGGAAGAGAGCCTTCAGTCCTGGTTCAAGAAATATTTGCCGGGTCTCCTCTGGACAACGACTGAGGGTAGTGGTGGTTAAACGTTTGAGCTCTGGAGTTAAATAGCTCTGGGCTCAAATGAGTCATGCTATCCAACTGTGTGACTGCTAACAAATTATTTAATTTCTCTATACCTTAATTCTCTCTTAATTTCTCTATACCTTAATTCTCTCATTAATTAATTAATTACCTGTAATATTAAGTACCTGATAATATTATTAATATTAATTAATATTATTCATATTAATTATCTGATAATATTATTACCTGTATCTTAGAGTAAATGTGAAGATTAAATGAGATCATTTAGCACTTAGTGCAGTGCCTGGCACAGAGTAAGTGCTCAGTAGGTATCTCCTGAATCCAGTTGGTTCTCCACCTACTGCAACAAACCAGGGTACATTTAGGTGGTGGCACAGAGGGCAGTCATGGAGAGCACACGCCTAATGGTGGCAGGTTTAGGGAAATGCTGTCCAGGGCCCTTGGTGACATGCTGTCTGAACAGGCACCAACTGAGGGTCCTCTGCCTGAGAGGAGAATTTCAAGGTCCAAGAAAGACTCTGCCAAGGGTTACCCAAGGGCTGGATGGACCTGATGGAAAGGATGCTGATATAGTCAACTTCCTCTACTTGGCCTTGGGGTCGGACTTCAGTGACTGCTGACATCATAGACGCTTAGTTAACGTTTGTTTAATGCCTAAAGAAAGACTAAGACATAGAAGCAAATGGAAGTTCTTTGTTTTGGGTTTAGGATAACACAAAGGGGAAAATGGTGCTCCATGTGTGTTTCAGACTTTATTCACACAATAATTTAATTATATGTTCAACCAAAAAAAAAAAGTTTGTGTACTTTGTGTTAATCCAGGCATCGTGGAGTTTACACAGTATCCTTACCTTCAAGGACAGTCAACAGGGGGACAGACAAGGAAATAATTTCAATGTTGGGGGATATAATAGAATAGTAATACATATAAATGCTTTCTTTACTGGAAAAGGAAAAGATAATACATGTGGCTTATTCTTTTTTTTAAGGGCTTTTTCATCTTATGTTTTGGAATGCTCTTGGATAGTAAGGTATGTGTATTCATTTCTCTCTTTCTCCTTTAACCCAGGCACCTAGTCCCTCCCCTTCAGTTCTAGGGCCCTTATTCATATACAAGAAGTTAGACCATGGGTACCTGCATAATAAAATTCTATAATTTCACAAAAGGCAGGTTCCGTCAGGAGACAAAGAAACTAAACACTCATTGCTGAAAATAGAGCTGTAGAGAACTAACCACAACATATAATGTGAACATTGTAGAAAAAAAGGGGAAACTTGTTTTTACTTCTAAATTATGATTTGGCATAATTAACCAGCAGAAAAACTTTCCTTAGGGGTGAATTCCTTTTTTGCTCCTTTACTTAATTTATTCATTCACTTAGAATATGCTGAAAGGCCTATCTATTTGTATGTTTCTAGAATTTTATGTAGTAAATATTACATCACCTCTAAATTAAATAGAATTCCTAATGAAAGATGACCAATGTAAGTAAAAGATAAGAGAAAAATACTTACACTTCTTTCATTATTTTTCCAAGCTTTGAGCAATTCTGCAGAGAGGTAAAGACAATAAGCTAAAAAATGTAGCCTCTGTTTTAATAAGATAAGGATATTTTATAATTATCATAATTGTTGCCCATGCCTCCAAACCCGTGTTTACAAAGAAGCAATTTGCCTCCTTCTTGATTGGACCAAATAATTCTGTTGTTTGCACCATTCACTTGATGAGGACACTCTTCACTTCAAACTTCGATTTAGCCATTATTGCCAATTACTAATGTCTAGAATCTGAATTATTATGGTTTTGGGGACTGTTGCTCTTTGTTTCATTCTAGATTTGTTTACAGGTAAAGAAAAGAAAGAAAAGAAAAGAAATCCTTCCATCCACATGCTTATCGTCTATTAAATGCTTCCGGGAAATACTACTACTAAATAACAATTACGCTCTTCAGTTTTGTTCTTTTTTTAATTTTTTTTGTGGTACGCGGGCCTCTCCCGCCGCGGAGCACAGGCTCCGGACACGCAGGCTCAGCGGTCATGGCTCACGCCCAGCCGCCCCGCGACATGTGGGATCTTCCCAAACCGGGGTACGAACCCGTGTCCGCTGCATTGGCAGGCACACTCTCAACCACTGCGCCACCAGGGAAGCCCTCCCGTTTTGCTCTTGATTTGCCTCTGTACGATTGCCTATGTGTAGCTCCTCACTATTTCTTTTTTGCCCTGTAGCTGCGACAGCTGCTACTCAACAAGTTGTCTCCTTTAAGCTTTTGGAACCAAGCATCAAAGGTAATCATCTCCTGCAGCCGTGGAGGCAATTCGTGAAGTTCCAGTTTTGCACTTTTTTACACAGTCCCACGGCAAGCCCACTTTTTTGTAAACCCCTTGAGTTTCTGTCACGTTATATTCCTGGTATCTGGCACGATGTCCAGCACGTGGTCAATACTCATTAAAGAGCTGTTGAATGAATGAGTGAATGAGTGAATGGATGAATGGATGCAAAGGTGTGGAAAGCTTCAAGGATGCTCAGGCATGGGGTCTGTGGTGCTCTTGTGAGCAAATACGTTTCAACGGTGTTGCTTGTTATAGTCTGACTTGTCTCCCAATATCTAGAATCAGTAGGGTCCTTTTCTCTGCCTGCCTGTCTAGATCTCCTGCAGACCACTTTTCCTTCTCCAGAAAATCAGACGGGGAAGCCTTCATTAATTTCTAATATGTAAAATGATCTTTATGAATTTTCCCTTATGCTGGTGTACCTGACTTTGTCACTTGCAATTTTAGCTCTTCAGTCTACAAACTGACAAGTTTGCATGGAAACAAAGGATTCTTGTTTTCATTCTTTGCCACAAAAGTGCAATCCACTTAAGGAACAGTATAGTTAGGAACAAAAGTACTTGCCTCTCGGTTTTGTATTTTTGACGTTAACTCAGACTTTTGTCTTTTAGCAAGACACGGAGGACCTTTCAGAAAGGGTTCTAAAGCAGAAATTTCTGTGTGTGATAAAAATCAGCCGATTTAAGTGCATGAAAAACTACATGGATATTTAGAGATTCTTAACAAGGGATAATATAACGTTTTGAAATTAAAAAAACAGTGAGGAAATTAGCCTCTGGCATTTTTATAAAATAATTTTCCTGGGTCTGCATTTCATAGGAGAGGGCTGTGGGTTAGGAAGCTGTGACCTCAGGAGCTGGCAGACCTGATTGTATTTCTGACTCAGTAACCAGTTGGCTGTGTGACCTCGGGAAAGTCACTTAGTACCTTTTGGTTTCAATGTTCTCAAGATGTAAAAATTAAGTGTTAGACTAGTTACTCAAAGCAGAAGTTCTAATATTCTGTGATTTTGATTTTATGTCTTGAAGAACTAAAATCCCTTGAACCAGAAAATGTGAAACTAATGAATCATTCTCTACTCTTAAGAAAAGGAGGGAGTTACAGCATGTGTGACTGCATTAAAGTCAAACCTTTAGTTAGTAAAGCAAGACAGGACACTCCCCACCCTACAAAGCAGGAAGTTAGAATTTTTCTCACTGGAAGGCCAAAGAGAGAAAAACACTGAAAAGGAAAATACACCAAAACCAAAAGTAAAGACGCCTGACAGTGGTTTATCTCCCTGTTTTTATTTATTTTATTTTTTATTTTTTAATTTTTTATCTTTTTGCAGTATGCAGGCCTCTCACTGTTGTAGCCTCTCCCGTTGCGGACCACAGGCTCCGGATGCGCAGGCTCAGCAGCCATGGCTCACATGCCTAGCCGCTCTGCAGCATGTGGGATCTTCCCGGACCGGGGCACGAATCCGTGTCCCCTGCATCGGCAGGCGGATTCTCAACCACTGCGCCACCAGGGAAGCCCTATCTCCCTGTTTTTAATGTAAATTGTTGACCTTTTTCAGAAGGCAGCAGTGGTCAGTGAGGGCTTTGCATCTTCTGGATTTGTACCCCTTCTCCAGTTTCACTTTCAAATTAGGTGACAAAAATGAAATTTTGTTTTCTGGGTAGGTGGCTCATTTGCTTTAAAGTAAATGCACATTTGGCAGAAGAAAAATTGAGTATTTGTAATCTTCTGAGGGAGTTTGAATGAAAAAGCAGGCACCTAAAAGAATACTTTGAATGCCTAAATGACTTGGTTTTCTTTTGTGCAGCAAAACTCATCAGATTCATCTGTCAAACCCAGATTCAAAAAGACTTTCAACCCATTCCAACACAAACGTGAGTTACAACAAACCAAAGGTTCTAAGGGGTAGGAAGAAAGAACATGGATCCATCATGGGCAACTCACTTTATAGAGTCCAATCAAAATTCTTTGGATTTCAGATAAAGTTCAAGTGTCGGAACTTGAAAAAGCATATTTCCCTCCCAAAATGCTCAATGGGCTCATCCAGAAGCTTTGGGTCCTGTTATCACTGCCACCAACCAGCCTGAGGGCTTTTAATAAATCTCTTTACCTTTTTGGACCTTTGTTCCTCATCAGTAAAAAGAAAAACTAAGAGATCACTAAGCTTCCTTCCAGCAGTAACATTCAGTGATCTCAAACCAATCTCGTTCCCCAACGTCTGAAAATACGGTGCTTCTCTTCTCAAATGAGAGATGTCTGACAAATGTAAGCTTCTATGGCATTAATAAGATGCTGTACACCCTAACCTCTTCCTAACACTGTCCAGAATTGTAAGGAATTGCATAGGCTTATTTTCATTTTGGTCTTATGCTTGATTCCAACATAGTAGCAATAATTCTTATCCTCTTTTTCCTCTTTTAGGCAACTATGTACTTTCTTATACTGGAGAGTCCTCAAACGACATCACGCTAACTCAGTTTTCATCAACTGAATAAAACCGGGAACCCTAAAATCAAGGAAAATTTTTTGGAGCAAATTGACATTAGAGCTAAATGTCAGTGAAGAAATCATGCTCAATATTCAATGGATTTTTCTGATTTCGGAGTCTGAGAATATAATAAGGAACTCTCAGCAGTTTCATGACAGCCATCTTTATCTTCAATTAAATGGAGAGATTTACTTCCATGGGGTTTGATTCAAAGGAAGTGCTTCATAAATGTAGAAGATTAAGTTTTTGTCAGAAATTATGTCAGTTGTACTAGCCTCTCACTGTCACAAACTATGGTTTCCTTTTTCATAAAATAGCATTATTCATGTGACATTTCTAATCACCTGAATTGGAGTAAGGAAATGTCATGAAATCACTTTAGATGCATTGATGGACCATGTTCACTTTCTTATAAAAAAAGTCACTGGTGAAATTTCCTAGAGAAAAGGCGTTTTCCTCCAAAAACTTCCAGTTGGATTTTATGCTTGTTTTTGTTTTTTAGGTACAGTCACTGAACTTTGAAAGTTAATCAGAAACAAAATAGAAGTGTCCATTTCAGATAGCTTCACAGCTGTTACTTAGGAAGTATAAAGCAGTATTTATATATATATATTATATATATATATAAAATATATATATAATATATATAATATATATATTTATATATATAATTATTTTTCAGTTTACAAGGCACTTTCATCTGGTCCCCCATCCAATGACGTAAGGTGTCCAGGCAGACCTAGTGCAGACATGATGAAATAGAGGCTTGGACAGGTGAAGTGACTTCCCAAAGTGAAGCCAGTAAAGGGCGCTTTTAGGACTTTTGGTTCCTAGTCCACTTCTACAGCCTCATAACAGCCTTGAAAATTACCTGCAGTCCTAAGCAAGCCTTATGAGGTTAGATACGAGATTCATCACTCCCAGAATTCTCTCTATGTAAGAGGAAAATTGAGGGAGAATTTGGTCATCAGCATCCAGAAAGACCTTAAAGCACCTGGTTTTCTTTCATAATACACTGTCGGCACTTTTGGAAGTCATTTACATGTGTGGCCGATGCTACTTTTGGATGAGATAGAGAGCAGCAGGTGAAGGCACTGTAGGAAGCAACATTTCCCTTCCATACTGCCATCACTTTGGGCTCACCTGAGTTTCAGTCCTGACCACAGTGCCCAGAAGAACTAAGCCCTTTGATTCATCCTTGCTTCCAGAGTCTCCTAAGAATCTGCTGTGGCATTTTTAAAGCAAGTGTTGATTTCTTTCAATAACAATTGCAGTGATGATGGTGTTGATGGTGGTGGTAAGAAGTCATAAAAGAAGAAGCTACATGTAGAGGGTGCTCACTATGTGTCAGGCATTATTCTAAGTGCTGTGCATCTATTAACTCATGTAATCTTCACAATAAGCTTGTGAAGGGGGAATAATATTATCCCTGTTTTACAGCTGCTGAAACTAAGGCACAGAGAGGTGAGATGTGAGCAGGGCAACATGGATGGCAAATGGCTATGCCAGGGTAGTAGTTATGGAAGTTGAATTACAATAAGAAGAGGGTTATATAAGTTAGCCTAGCAGGATTGGAACTGCTAATTTAATTGTAATTAGAATCCTAGACTACTTGGTCTGCAAGGGAGCTCAGGCATCATCTAGCTACTATTTTACGAGTAGCCCTGATGTCCTAAGTCACAGCAGCCTGTGATTACAAAAGTAAGCCAAGTCCACATTTACTGCTATCTGTAGGAGTATATTAGTCAGCTCAGACAGCCATAATGGAACATCAGAGGCCAGTGGTTTAGACAACAGAAATTTATTTTCTCATGGTTCTGGAGTCCAGGAAGTCCAAGTTGAAGCTGCCGTTGGGCTTGTTTTCTAGTGAGACTGCTCTTCTGTCTTGTCTGTGTCCTCACATGGCCTCTTCTCCATACACATGCAAATAGAGCTCTCTGGTGTCTCCTCCTCTTCTTATAAGGACACCGATCCTATCAGATTAGGGCCCCACCCTTATCAGCTCATTTCACCTTAATTACTTCCCTACTGACCCTGTCTCCAAGTAATCACATTGGCGGTTAGAGCTTCGACATATGAATTTTGCAGGGACACTATTCAGTCCATAACAAGTAGCTAGAATTTTTATTTGCCTGTTTAATTGAAATTAGGGTGTTTTAAAAGTGTGTTGGATCACATACCATATATCATGTTTGTCTAACCCACTGACTACACATTCAGCTCAGCTCCCTTCCAGAATGCTACTGAAACAGCAATAAAAGAATTAAAAAAGGAGAAAGACATTGGAATATTTTCTATGGCTGTGTAAAAAACTGCCACAAACTTTGGGGTTTAAAACAACCTGCATTTATTTTCTCACAGTTTCCCTGGGTCAAGAGTCCAGACACAGCTTAATTGGGTCCTCTGCTCAGGGTCTCACAAGACTGAAGGAGCTAGCTGGTCTACCTCTTTATCTGGAGGCTCGACTGGAGAAGAATCCACCTCCAACTCATTCAGTTTATGGACAGAACTTATTTCCTTGCAGCTGTGGTAAAGAGAACCTTGGCTTTTCACGGACTATTTGCCAGAGGCTACCTTGGGACACTAGAGGTCACCTACACATCCCTGCCACTGGGATTTTCCAAAATGGCCACTTATGTCATTAAGCCTGCAAGGAGAGTCTCTTAGTCCAGTCTGCTTTTAAGACAGAGTCTTGTACAATATAAGGTAATCAGGGGAGTGACATCTTATAACTTCTTCCATATTCTATCGGCTAGAAGTGAGTCACAAGTCCTGGCCACACTCAAGGGAAGGGGATTTCTAAAGGTGTGAACAGCAGCAGGAAGGGATTATCAGACCTGAATTATTAAGGATAAGGAGAGAGAGAGGAAGCAACAGCAACAGAACTTTGGAAAGCAGGTGGGGTGAGTGCAAACTGACTCAGCTGGCCTAAGAAAGCTAAATATGAAGCCAGAAGCGAGGGAAGCCAAGAAGCAAGCTGCTTTACCCTGCAGAATCCCCCAAGAGACTTGAGACTTGGCAGCACCAGTGTCCATAAGAAGTGAAGTGAAGGTGGAACTAAACCGTACGGTTGTTCAAGGTCAGTTTAGGAAACAGACTCTCAGATGCTTCCCTCACCCCAAGCAACCAAGTAACCATCCCTTCCTCCACCCTAGCAATAGAATATATGGATATGTGGGGAAAACATGGGATTTGGGGACTGAGAGACTCCAGAAGCGTTTGAGGGAGAGTTTACCATCTCCAAGACAGAGAGATTCAGTGAAAGTTAACATATAACACCAGCAGCGAGACTTACTTCCTCCTGGCAAGAGACTGGGATGGTCCTCTCTGGAGAATCTGATCACCAGGAGAAAACACTGAAAGATACTGACTCTGGGCGTTTGCTAATGAAATGTTCACACCTACAGTGAAGCCAAGAACCATCCTACGCACTTTGTTCACAGACCTTCCAATCAGCTCTTCAATGTCCTACTCTGAAAAGTAAAGCCAAACTGTCACAGCCCACTAGGCTCTCTAGGAAAGCACCCAGTATTAAATGCAGAAGCCAAAACAAACAGAAAGAGCCAGTATGGTGTCACCTAGAATCCAGTTCTATGAGCTCGACTAGAAGATGAAGGAGAAAACAGAGAAAGGAAGCTGGGGCAGGGGCGGGGGGTGGGGGGACGTGACTAGAAAGAGGGGAAGGGCAGGGATCAATACTAACCTCCAACAGAACACTGCCTTTATGAACAAGTGCTATAAAAAGGCATACTGGGGCCACAAAAAGAATCTTTGGAACTAAAAATAGAATAACATAACCACTAAAATACTTCAACTGAGGGGATGGAAGATAAAGTTGAGGCAATGACCTGGAAAATAGAAATAAAAGAAAAAGATGTAAAATGAAAGAAAAAAAATTAGAGGACTAGACCCAGAATTTCACCATTTGAATAGTAGGATTTTCAGAAAGAAAGACTAGAGGAACAAAAGGAAGGCATCATTAAAGTCATAAACAGAGAACAATTTTTGGTCACTTAGGGTCATGAGTTTCTCTACTGAAAAGGCCCACAGAATGCCCAGTATGATAAGTGAAAATAGACCCACAGTTAGACATGCTATCATCTGAATGTTTGTGTCTTCCCCAAATTCATATGTTATGAATTCATACCTAGTCCCCAAGGTGATGGTGGTAGGAAGTGGGGCCTTTGGGAAGAGTTTGGGCCATGAGGGTGGATGTTGCATGAATGAGATTCGGGTTCTTATAAAAGAGGTCTCACAGAGCTCCCCAGCCCTTCCCACCACCCGAGGATTTAGCAAGAAGCCGGACGTCTGCAACCCGGAAGAACCTTCACCAGATCTTGTACTTCCCACCTCCAGAACTGTGTTGAATAAGTATTTGTTGTTTATATGGCATCCAGTCTATAGTATTTTTCTATAGCAGCCCAAATGGACTGAGACAACATTATTGTGAAATTTCAGGTCACAGAAGAAAAAAAAAGATGCAAATATTTTCAGAGAGAAAAAGTGGGATTTACCTGAAGGGTCCAAATCAGAATATTATCAGGACTCTTCACAGCAGCAGTATAAGCTAGAAAACAATGGAAAATGTCTTCAAAATGTTGAGAAGAAAAGACTGCAACCTAAAAGCAATTAAGTGTGAGGAAGAATAAAGATAGTTTCAGACGCAGAAATTCTTGACACGTTTTCCTGCAATACTGCCTTTCCCAAAGGTTACTGGGGAATAGACTACACCAAAGGCAGCAATAAGCCCAGAAAGACTTGGGACACAAGGTGCAGTAGAAGAGAGAGAGAGAGGGAACCTCTAGGGTGGGAATAAGGGAGTCGCTAGACAGACAGCAGCCGTGGGGCCGGTCCAGGCTGGACCCACAGCAGAGACTGCTCAACAAGGTGAAAATGATAGGATACCTGATATACTTGAGTGTTATTTAGAAGAGACCTACATACTTTGAGGTAGGTTGGGTATGGATTTTTTATAAGAACACAGAAATCTAAGCAAGTAAAAAAAGTTACACCTAACAGAAATAAAATGTTGTGCAAAAAAGGAAGAGCAATTAAGCATACTACCTGGCTCAGCTATGAATAGAGCATACAGAGTGCCAATACTGTGAAATGATTTTGATATAACCAAAATAATAATGATGTATTGGGAAGGTGGAGAATAGGAAGTGTATCTGAGAGGATAGGAAAAGAGATCTAAATA